TAGTCACAAGACAGGGAATAAAAATGAGAGGTAGTCCAAGAAGAGGAATAATAAAAGAGAGGTGTCACAAAACAGAAGAAATAAAATGAGAGGTAGTACGACAGAGGGAATAATAATGAGAGGTAGTCACGACGAGAGAGAATAATAAAGAGAGGTAGCACAAACAGAGAGGGAGAAAATAATGAGAGGTGTCCAAAACAGAAGAATAATAAATGAGAGGAGTCACAAGACAGAGGAAAAAATAATGAGAGGTAGTCAAAGACAGAGAGAATAATAATGAGAGGTATCCAAGACAGAGAGAATAATAATGAGAGGTAGTCAAAGACAGAGAGAGAAAAATAATGAGAGGTAGTCACAAGAAGAGAGGGAGAATAATAAAGAGGGTATCACAAGACAGAGAGAATAATAAATGAGAGGTAGTCACAAGACGAGAGAATAAAATGAGAGGTGCACAAGAAGAAGAATAATAATGAAGGGAGTCACAAGACAGAGAGAATAATAAATGAGAGGTAGTCACAAGCGAGGAAAAATAAAGAGATAGTCACAGACAGAGAGAATAATAAAGGGGTATCACAAGCAGGGAAAGAATAATAAGAGAGGTAGTCACCCGACAGAAGAAAAAATAAATGAGAGGTAGTCCAAGACAGAGAGAATAATAATGAGAGGTAGTCACAAACAAGAGAATAAAAATGGAGGTATCACAAACAGAGGAGAATAATAATGAGAGGTAGTCACAGACAGAGAGAAAATAATGAAGGTGTCACAAGACAGAGAGAGGGAAAAATAATGAGGGTGTCCAAGACGAGAGAATTTAAAATGAGAGGGAGTCACAAACGAGAGAATAAATGAGAGGTTCACAAGACAGAGAGAATAATAAGAGGGTAGTACAAGCAGAGAGAGAATAAAAATGGAAAGGGGACAAAAACAGAAAGAGAAAAATAATGAGGGTAGTCAAAGACAGAGAGAATAATAAAAGAAGGTAGTCACAAGACAGGAAAATAAAAATGAGATTTTCACAAGAAGAGAGGGAAAATAAAGAGAGGTAGTCCAAGACAGAGAGATTAATGAGAGGTGTCACAAGACAAGAGAATAAAAATGAAGGGAGTCACAAGAAGGGAAAATAATGGAGGTTACAAGACGAAAAAGAATAATAATGAGGGGGTAGTCACAAGACAGAAAGAGAATAAAATGAGAGGTAGTCACAAGAAGAGAGAATAATAAAGAGAGGGAGTCAAAACAGAGAGAATAATTTGGGAGGTAGTCCAAAAACAAAAGAGAATAATAATGAGAGGGGTCACAAGAAGAAAGAGAATAATAATGAGAGGTGTCACAAGACGAAAGAGAATAATAAAGGAGGGGTCACAGACAAGAAATAAAAAAATAGAGGTAGTCACAAGACAGAGAGAATAATAATGAGAGGTAGTCACAAGACAGAGAGAATATAATGAGAGGTAGTCACAAGACAGAGAGAATAATAATGAGAGGTAGTCACAAGACAGAGAGAATAATAATGAGAGGTAGTCACAAGACAGAGAGGGAGAATAATAATGAGAGGTAGTCACAAGACAGAGAGAATAATAATGAGAGGTAGTCACAAGACAGAGAGAATAATAATGAGAGGTAGTCACAAGACAGAGAGAATAATAATGAGAGGTAGTCACAAGACAGAGAGAATAATAATGAGGAGGTAGTCACAAGACAGAGAGAATAATAATGAGAGGTAGTCACAAGACAGAGAGAATAATAATGAGAGGTAGTCACAAGACAGAGAGAGAATAATAATGAGAGGTAGTCACAAGACAGAGAGAATAATAATGAGAGGTAGTCACAAGACAGAGAGAGAATAATAATGAGAGGTAGTCACAAGACAGAGAGATATAATAATGAGAGGTAGTCACATAGACAGAGAGAGAATAATAATGAGGGGTTTAGTCACAAGACAGAGAGAGAATAATAATGAGAGGTAGTCACAAGACAGAGAGAATAATAATGAGAGGTAGTCACAAGACAGAGAGAATAATAATGAGAGGTAGTCACAAGACAGAGAGAATAATAATGAGAGGTAGTCACAAGACAGAGAGAGAATAATAATGAGAGGTAGTCACAAGACAGAGAGAGAATAATAATGAGAGGTAGTCACAAGACAGAAGAGAAATAATAATGAGAGGTAGTCACAAGACAGAGGGAGAATAATAATGAGAGGTAGTCACAGACAGAGAGAATAATAATGAGAGGTTAGTCACAAGACAGAGAGGGAGAATAATAATGAGAGGTAGTCACAAGACAGAGAGAATAATAATGAGAGGTAGTCACAAGACAGAGAGAATAATAATGAGAGGTAGTCACAAGACAGAGAGAATAATAAATGAGAGGTAGTCACAAGACAGAGAGAATAATAATGAGATAGTCAAAAGACAGAGAGAGAAAAATAATGAGGGTATCACAAAGACAGAGGGGGAGAATAATAATGATGAGGTAGTCAAAAGACAGGAGGGAGATAAAAAAGAGTGAGGTGTCACAAGACAGAGAGGGAGAAAAAATGAGTGAGGTGTCACAAGACAGGAATAGTGAGTGAGGTTTTAGGAGAGAGAGAAAATAATAATGAATGAGATAGCAAAGAGAGGAAAGAATAATAATAAAATGAGGATTTGCAAGAGAGAGAGAGAATAACGAGTGAAGTGTACGAAGCGTGGGGACGGAAGTCTACAACACAGGAAGTAGGGGGGAATATTCTAAAAGATTTTTAAAACCGTCTCTTTTAAAACCGATGCCTTTCCCCAAGATAAAACTACCCTGTGTATTGTGGTTTTGGGTGGCCCGGAAACTTACTTATCCGGGAACCAATTTTAAGGGGAACCCCTGCTCCCCGGGGGGATCCTCATTTATGTCAGGTTCGTTAGTTAAATTTTGTAGTTGAGGTGGGGGATATCTTGGCGTAAAAACCAATCATTTGACGGATGGGAAATTATTTCAGTACATTCTTGAGGGTCCCTACGTAAATATTTTCAGAAATAAGGCGGGGTGCAGACAATGCGGGAAAAAAAGTGACACAAAAGCGCTGGGGGCCTGGTTTTTTAACCCCTTCGCTTAACGGTGAGGGCCTGGGTTTTTTCCAGGTGTAATAATCATGTATCTCTCCCGCCTGCGTTCCAAATACAGGTTTGGGAAAACCTCAAGCGCTCCCAGTAATTGAGGTTTTTATCCCCGTTATGCGCGCCGTGAAGGTTCTTTTGTACATTTTCTGGGTCAGCAATTTCACCTGCCTTGAAAGGTGCTGTTAGTGTGCAGCAATATTCCAGCCTAGATAGAAAAGTGACCGAAGAGTGTCATCATGGCTTGGCATCCCTCGTTTTGAAGGTTCTCATTATCCATCCTGTCATTTTCTACCCAGATGCGATCGATACAATTTTATGGTCCTTGAAGGTGAGATCCTCCGACATGATCACTCCCAGGTCTTTGACGTTGGTGTTTCGCTCTATTTTGTGGCCAGAATTTGTTTTGCACTCTGAAGAAGATTTAATTTCCTCGTGTTTACCATATCTGAGTAATTGAAATTTCTCATCGTTGAACTTCATATTGTTTTCTGCAGCCCACTGAAAGATTTGGTTGATGTCCGCCTGGAGCCTTGCAGTGTCTGCAGTGGAAGACACTGTCATGCAGATTCGGGTGTCATCTGCAAAGGAAAAGCTCAATGCACATAAAAGGCCCTAAAATCTGGAATTCATTACCTGTGAATATAAAAGAAGCACTGTCTGTTTATAAATTCAAGTCTCTTCTCAAAAAATCACTTACTCACCCACAACTAAATAAATACTGAATAATTGTATCTCATAAATTATATCTCGTAAATGTTTCTCATTATTGTATCTCATAAATGTCTAACCTGTGACCCAATCAAACTTTTTTTTTTTAATTACATTACCTAACAGAATACTCCAATCTACTGAATGCTCAGCAACAGTAAATGACCATTTTGACCTGTTTTTGTAATACTCATTTGTGTTTAAATTTGTTATCTGTGTAAAAATAATTAATTTACCACTGAATAATCATTGCTTAGTTAATCTTAAGTTAATTTTAAGCCTGCCCATAATGCTCTGCATACAAGGGGCTTTGGCATGTTACACTGTAATAACTTTATATTTCACTGTATCATGTTCAGATTAATAAATAAATAAATAAATAAATAAATTTATTTAAGCATAGGTACACATAAGTACAATTATCATACATAATAACATGTGTACATTACCTATGATAACCCCAAAAAAATCATTGACTTAATTCCATTAGACACATCATTCCCATTAGCCCACTTGTGGCGGGGATGGCAGACCAGAGAGGCCTAGCTTGTGGCTAGGCCTGGGGACAGTTGGTCCCAAAGATGAGGAGGTGCTTGTACCTCCTCCCATGGGAGACTTAGGTCTCAGACACTCCCTAAAGAGGGAGCCAAGGCCGGGCCACCACTTGGACAAGGCCCGGGCCGGGAGAATACCGGCTAATCTTTAACTAACTAACTAACACATCTGTAGAAAATACAGTCGCATTTATACTATAATTGTACTATAACTAAATAAACTGTAAAATAATCACTGTAACTTCTATATATTTATAACAAGTTAAGATTATATTTTATCTATTTACAGTATAATAACAAACCCTCCCGGGAGGTTCCTTGATGCTGGTGAGGGGCTCTTGATCTAGGGAACTGGATCTGTGCTCCACTTCCTTGAATTAAGCCTGAATACTTTCCATACCTTCCCATAGGAGCTGTATAATCCATACGGGTTTAACGCTCCCCATAATAATAAGTATGATAAAACGCATTAAATTTCTACTTTGTTTCCCACAAGGCTGTCACTATGATACCTTTATTATTTACGTCTTCTGGCCTTATAAATTTAATAAAGACTTCTACTAGTATAGTTCTGAAGATAAGTTATATTTATTATAAGTCTGATAGATGTAAATTGTAAAACATTTGTAAATAAGTGGGAGAATAGATGGTGAGGTAGGTTGGTAGACCTGGTACACAACAACAGTAGTGCTCTTGATCCATGGTGAGGATGATGCCTTTTATTTAACATCTTGCACCGTGACCTGGGTGACCACATGTATTTCTCTCGGTGTATATATGCTGAGAGTTGACTGTACTCTCCATTTAAGGTATTAAAGTGTTTTTGTGGTGGAAAGGTTACATCGTGTAGCCTTCATGACCCTAGTGTAGTCGATAGACTTTAAACCTCCCCTATTAACCGAGTAACCTGGGTGAGTGCCAGGCAGAGAGGCACTCCATGGAGGCACTCCAGGCAGGTGTGTGAGTGTACGAGGAAGTGTAGGGAAGTAGTGCTAGTGACATGGGCCAGCCAGCCAAGTGCTGTCTAGTTCCTTCCCTCTCATACCTCTAGCGTTTATGTGGGCTCCTGTTCCATGGAATTGGAGCTCTCCTATTGAATCATACCCTATTATCTTCCATTCCCAAGTGCTATGTAGCCCCTACAGGTTTAGCACTTCCCCATGGACCAGCCAGCCAGGTACTGCCTTTGCAAACCACTGACAGGTATGTGTAGGTTCCTGATCCAGGGAATTGGAGCTCTCCCACTGAATCGATCCAGATTATCTTCCATAACCAGGTTCTAAGTAGCCCCTACAGGTTTAGTGCTTCGTGAATATAATCAGGAATGAAGAGTTTGTTGGTATTATTAATCTGGAGGGTTAAGTAAGTTTATTTAGGTACAGTTACAGACAAGTACAATTATACATAGTTTAACATATGTGTAAATTACTGAGGAAAACCCCAAAAAAGTAAAAATAACTTATTACCATTGGGTTAGTAACCCAGGAAAGCCCAGTGAAGTCAGGACCTCATCAGATTCTCTTATTTCCACTGTGGTCCATTAATTTTCACCCCCAGGATGCAACCCACACCAGTTGACCAACACCCAGGTACCTACTTACTGCTAGGTGAACAGGCACAGCAGGTGTAAGGCAACACACTTCAAGTTTCTACTAATACCCGGGACTGCCTCATAATGTTCATTTTAGTTATAAACCTTCATACATTTGTGTACATATATTTTCTCTACACTAAATTGTTTTGGCTGTATTAAACATGTTTAAATTTGTATAATTTTCTTACATGTAAAGTATCTTGGGTAACCCAGTAATATCGAAGTGATTTGTTAACATTGGAAAGCCTAAGTATCATATTATATATACAGTTTGTATTTAATAATGACAGTAAATACAGTATTATCACATAGTACCGTCTCTCCTCACTTAACAACAGAGTTCCATTCCTAAAACCACATCAGTAAATGAATTCGTCGCTGAGGAGCATACTATAATGGTAGTGGGTTTGTGTCAGCCATGTTTGGTATTGTTTTAATGTTACCTTTGCATCATTTGTAACACTTCTGGCATATTTTTTAAATAGTTATACAGTAGTGGACTGTATATTGTAATAAACAGAATAGAGGAAATCTGCTCTAATATATATTATCTAGGTATGAATACTAGTCAGAGAGGCCGTCGTAAGTCCAAGTCGTCAGTAAACGAGTACATTGCTAAGTGAGGGGAGGCTGTATTCTTCTACAGGTAGACCCCATTTATACAGCAGGTTAGGTTCTCAACTACTTCTGTAAAGTGAAAGTGCCTTATTTTCATTTTCAAAATAATAGAAAAAGGCTGATAACATAATCATATATTAAGCAACAAAGCTAGGCCTAAAAAAATGCATATGCAGTACACACATTACTTACCTTAAATTATTTTCATCCTTAACTCATAGTGAGCGGTGAATATATTTATTATAAGAAGTCTGAATAAATGAAGAATGGGTATAATTGAAAATCACTGTATTAGCAAAATGCAGTAAAGTGAAGCGCTGTAAAGCAGGGCTCACCTGTACTTGAAAACCCCTAAATTATTAACATCAAAGGGTTAGAAACCCGGGAAAACCCATAAACCCAGTCATTGGGCTTGTTTTTGTTAGGGTTCTTTCTGGGTCCTTCCCTCAGGATGCAACAAAAAACAGTTTCTAACTCTAGTATCTGTTACTGTTAAGTAATGGAATTTGGGGTTTACGTGACCGGCAATGTGTCCCCCTCATGGGCATCAAACCCTGGCGGGGTTGGCAATGTTCTTCCTCACCCCACAACACACACTGGTGTTGTGTTCAATCCCTGGCATGGTGAAAATTTTTGGGGCATGTTTCCTTCACTTGCTCTTCCTGTTCACCTAGCAGTAAGTAGTTATCTGGGTGTTAGTTGACTGGTGTGGGTCACATCCTGGGGAACAAGATTGAAGGATCACAATGGAAATAATATATGCAGTCCTTGATGATGCACTGACTTTCTTGGATTTCTTGGATGGATATCTTAATGTCCTCTTGAATGTGAGCCAAGCACAGTACTCATTGCACTACAAGGTACCAAGTCCCCCAGGCACTTGTAACCCCTTAAATTTACGAGTGAAACAGATAATCATACATCCAAAAACTGCAGACCTTTCCTGTTTTTTTGTTTTTTTATTTTTTAAAGTTCAGATACTTGCCTGGTTATAAAATTGTTTAAATCTCTCTGTACTTGCACAATGAAGAAAGGATTAGAGTTATTGCTCTTCAAAAGATCGTCTGACAACAGTAATGAAGAAAAGAGCACATTGCTGAACAAGCTTTTATTGAGACATCATTTTTAACCTCAGTCCCGGAGGTGCTTCCCACGAGGGGAGGGTATGTGAAAAGGAAGAAACACTCCGCAATCACACTCTTATCACTGTCTTGTCAAGGCATGCTGTACCACAGTTTTTGTTTCCCCTGCAAACTGTAAATACCCCACCTGCCTTTAGAGTACAGGAAATTACATCCCCCCCCCCAGGGCCGAGGTATGATTAATTACAGTAGAGCTTTGCTATCTTATAAACCCTTTAGAAAGCCTTCACAGAATGCAATGTTGCCCAGTAAAAGCTTTCTCAGTAATGCTCTCTTTTCTTCACTATTCCAATACATTTTGGATCTACCTTGTATCATGATAATAAAGTCAGACCCCCGGGGCGATTCAAATCAATTAAAATTTTTTTTTTTCTACATTGGCCACCTCCCACCCAGGCAGAATAGCCAGAAAGGACACATTCATTATTCATTAAATAGTTGTCTTACCCGGAGCGAGGGCAAACCCAGTTCGACGTCCTATGAACAGCAAAAACTATGCTCTCTTCACTGTGCAGACCCTAGTGGGTTTAGTGCTTGGTTGTTATTACAATAATAATCTTCATCGTGGAAGTACCAAGAGATTAAACAATTTAATATCCTCAGACTTCTAAATTATATCCTTGGTAACCCCAAACTAACTACAAATTTCTGTGCTGCAAATTTTCTTTGTGATAGTCATGCCACACATTGCTCTCAAATATGCCATATTCACTGCCTCTAACCTTCTTGCTGCAGTAGTCGAAACCCATGCCTCACACCCATTTAAAAGTGTTGATATTATTATTATTTATTATGTATATATATTTTTGTTTTGCACACTTTCATTTCACCAGTGTTGCTCCATGGTATTGTTTATGTATCATATTTCAGAGTAGTGAAGGAGTACATTCTGTTGCTGTTTCAGTTTTTGCTGAAAGTTGGTTACACTTTAAATAAAAATGATCTCAGGAAGAATGGTTTCACAACAGATTGATGATGCTTCTGTTAAGAAAAGAAAGTGTCTAGAAGAGAACATAGATGATCTGCAGAACATTGATTTGCTGGAAGACTCCACTAGTACTCCATCTCAGCCAGACATAATCACCCTATCCAAACCAAGTACTGCAACCATCCAATTACATCATCATAAATAATGAAGAAACTCATCAAGCTTTTGATGCAGTAAGCAAGACAAATGCAGTAGTAGGGTGAGTATAGTGCAATATAAGTGTGGTGTAAAGTACGTATATTGTTTGACCACCATTAAACATTTAAGACACAGTATGTGGTTTATGACATTTTATTGAGAAGACATTTCATCCACCAGGACTATCACTTCACACACAGTAAGTAAAAAGAGTACATATATAGTAGAACCCCATATCTACTGATTCAGTATCCATGGTTTCAGTTATCCATGGTTTACTATAGCCCAAAAATACCTCTTAATTTTGCATAATAATGGCCCTAAAGTGCAAAAGTAGAGAAGTTGGCAGTTCTTCAAAGCCTAAGAGAAGCTGTGAAGTGCTTCCCATCAGTGAAAAAGTGATAATTCTCCACTTATTGTGCATAATTTATCAGTTAAACTTTTTAATAAGTATGTATAGGACATATATGTATATAGGGTTTGCTACTATCTGCGGTTTCGGTATCCACAGCAGGTCCTTGAAATGTATCCCCCTTGGATACGGGGGTATTACTGTGTGCATGCGTGCATGCATGCATACATATACATACATACATACATACATACATACATACATACATACATACATACATACATACATACATACATACATACATACATACATACATACATACATACATACAAGGGGTGAGCAGATGATGTCACCTGTTGTAATGAGAAGCAGCCAGGTGATATCATTGAATCTTTAAAATTAGGTGGGCCAGTAAGCTGACTGCAGTGCTCCATGTAGTTTTACATGCCAATAATGGTTGTATCTTGTCTAGTGAGAATAAGTTTGACCAGTGTTTCTGAAATTAAGAACAAGTCTGATTTATGTTCTGGCAATCAGAACAGGTCTACAGCACCTGTCTGCTTCCATGGTAACCACTTTGGCATGGGGGAAGTTCATCAGATGGTTTTTGTGTTGTAATGAACAGTGCAAGCACTGTTTATATTATCTCACTGGCAAGAATGTCTGTGTTCATTGATCCTCATGTTCAGACCTGGAGATTTCACCAATGTAAAACTCAACACAACCTACATATAATATGTAGATGCTTGTAGTGGTGTCCTTGGTTACAGTTTTCTTTTTAAGTAAATCCTTTAGTGTTGGAGGCAATGCTGGCAACCCTAATGTTGTCATTGACTCCAGCACCATAAATATAGGAGAGTACAAATAAGTAGCATGTCTGTCACAGAGGATCAAGCCTCCACTACAACATCTTGTGCTGAATGGCCCACATGGGTTTAGCGGTTAATGTGAATTTATTAAAAAACGAATTCCATCACCATAAAGAACTTAGCTAAAAAAAGGAAACCATAACCAAGGACTCCATTGTTGGTGTCTATAAGATACTATTTTCCCCACACTCCACAGTGTGTTCATATGGTCACTTTCCCCTCAAAATGTTACATGGGTACAAAAGATTAATTGAAGTTTATTAAAAATGTGATTTGTTGTTGCATGAAATGTGAATCTGCTGTATTTGAAAACTTTGAATACATAAGTCTGGACACCGGCTTGTTCTAACCAATTTGGATAACCAGAATCTCATTATAGATTATGTATTATTATTATTTTTTTTATTAACACATTGGCTGATTCCCACCAAGGCAGGGTGGCCCAAAAAAGAAAAATTTTCATTATCATTCACTCCATCACTGTCTTGCCAGAGGCATGCTTACACTACAGTTATAAAACTGCAACAATAACACCCCTCCTTCAGAGTGCAGACACTGTATTTCCCATCTCCAGAACTCAAGTTCGGCCTGCCGGTTTCCCTGAATCTTTTCATAAATGTTACTTTGCTCACACTCCAACAGCATGTCAAGTATTAAAAACTATTTGTCTTCATTCACTCCTATCAAATACTCTCATGCATGCTTGCTGGAAGTCCAAGCCGCTCGCACACAAAACCTCCTTTACTCCATCCCTCCAACCTTTCCTAGGCTGACCCCTACCCTGCCTTCCCTCCATTACAGATTTATACACTCTTGAAGTCATTCTATTTTGTTTCATCCTCACTACATGTTCGAACCATCTCAACAACCCCTCCTCAGCCCTCTGGATAATAGTTTTGGTAATCCTGCACCTCCTAATTTCCAAACTATGAATTCTCTGCATTATATTTACACCACACATTGCCTTCAGACATGACCTCTCCACTGCCTCCAACCTTCTCCTTGTTGCAACATTCACCACCCATGCTTCATACCCAAATAAGAACATTGGTTTAACTATACTCTCATACATTCCCCTCTTTGCTTCCATGGACAAAGTTCTTTGTTTCCACAAACTCCTAAGTGCACCACTCACCTTTTTCCCCTCATCAATTTTATGATTCACCTCATCTTTCATAGACCCATCTGCTGACATGGCCACTCCTAAATATTTGAATACATTCACTCTCACTTTGTGTTAGATTATGATTTTGTTATTTTGAATAATCCCCCCTTCCCCCCATAGTTAAGATGAGCATTGTATAGTTATGACCATTATGCCATTAAACTCCCATGATAAAAAAAACGTGGTAGAAACATATTTTGCACGACATTAATTATCACCCTAGTTAGTAGGTTGGTAAACAGCAACCGCCCAGGGAGGTACTACCATCCTGCCAAGTGAGTGTAAAACGAAAGCCTGTAATTGTTTTACATGATGGTAGGATTGCTGGTGTCCTTTTTTCTGTCTCATGAACATGCAAGATTTCAGGTACGTCTTGCTACATCTACTTACACTTAGGTCACACTACACATACATGTACAAGCGTATATATACATACCCCTCTGGGTTTTCTTCTATTTTCTTTCTAGTTCTTGTTCTTGTTTATTTCCTCTTATCTCCATGGGGAAGTGGAACAGAATTCTTCCTCCGTAAGCCATGCGTGTTGTAAGAGGCAACTAAAATGCCAGGAGCAAGGGGCTAGTAACCCCTTCTCCTGTATATATTACTAAATTTGAAAGGAGAAACTTACGTTTTTCCTTTTGGGCCACTCCGCCTCGGTGGGATACGGCCGGTGTGTTGAAAGAAAGAAAGAAAGAAAGATTAATTATCACAGTTGTTTAATTAACTTTTGGCATCAGTATTTTTTTTTTTCAGATATCCAAATACCAGGTTAAGCAAAACTATATTGGACATTCTCCCAGAAGTTGGGTGATTTTAAAGGACGCTTGAGCACCAGCTGTGAACTAGGAGACATGAAATGGAGCATGGCAGGAAGAGTTGTATCTAGAAGAATAAGTGTGGTAAGTGAGATAACAGTAATATTGGGTGATGCACGTGTGCTCTGTGGGTTAGGCAACTGGTGTGTATCACACCTTGGAGTAGGATCTAAAATAATACCATAATAATAATAATATCTTTATTTCTACAAGTACATGTACAAGGTGTACAGGCCTAGCTGACATCAGTTACATACTATATAGAAAGCCCCTTGTTATGCAGAGCATTTCAGGCAAATGAGGTCGGTTTTGTCCCAGGATGTGACCCACACCAGTCGACTAACACCCAGGTACCCATTTTACTGATGGGGAACATAGACAACCGGTTTAAAGAAACATGCCCAATGTTTCTATCATCGCCGGGAATCGAACCTGGACCCTCGCTGTGTAAAGCGAGAGCTTGAGCCACCAGGCCACGGGGCACTGTTGGCAATATGCCACATTGATTGACTTCCTTGGGTTATCCTCAACTAACTCTCTGCAGTTACTATTTCATTTGATGTCCTCTTCCTGATTGGTTAATTGGTTGTTTTTAATATAGGTGATTTTAGCAATCCAGTGAAGAGACATAGTTACAGTGGAAATATCCTATTAGAGAGCAATGTTTGGTATAAATATTTTTCAGAGAATTGGGAGCATAGAAATTAGAAGACTGTGTGCAGGTTACCAAAAGTGGAATTCAGAAAGCTAAAGGTTATTAAGATAGTTTGGGAATTTAGAGAAGAAGTAGAGTAGGATGACCAAAAGGAATTTCTATGAATTCTGTACAGTTCATAGAAATTCCTTCATTTAAGTCTCAGTGAATTTCTAATTAGGCTAATATTAATGAATTTTTCTGTATACTGTATGTATAAATGTTAAATTGGGAGTTTAGCGTACAGATGACCATCGGATAACTCAGTAGTTGCATTCTAGAAAATGGCGTGTAATAAAAATGCATGTAAACTGAACTGAAGAACATATGGGGAAAATAAGGTTGCAATCATTACCTCCCTCCCTCAAGACCCCCCCCCCCCCCAAAAAAAAAAAAAAAAAAAAATTCTGTGTTGGTCAAAAAAAATGAAAATGTGATTGTAGGTCTGTGTGGTGATATGTGTCAGTCAAAGATCCCACATTCACATCTCTGTTCGCAGAGGTGCATATTGTTTTGGTTGTCCCACTCAATGCAACTATTAAGAGTGGTTGGGGTCTACACATGAGGGGTAAGGCAGGAAGGGTTACGGCAGTTGGGGCTCGGTGTGGGGGGTGAGGGACCTAATGGGGGATGGGTTAGGGTAGGAGCTGGAGGCTAGTGTTGGGAGATAGAGGATGTTTGGTAGTGGAGGGGTGTGGGGGTGGAGACTGGAAGCAATGAGGTGGTGTGATGGTGACCATGTGGGTGGCAGTATTAGTGGCATGGTTTGGGTGGTGGAATGGATGATGGGTGATTGGGTGAGTGAGTGTGCAGTTGTTGGTGAGGGTGATAATGTGAGTGGTAGATGGTTATGTGACTAGGTATGTGGATGGCATGTTAGGGTGTGTGGGCCATAGAAGGCTGTAGAAGTGCAGCTGTGGAGGAATGGTGCAAGTGTTTGTTGCCTTGGTGTGTGTAGTGGTGGTGGTGATGATTATGGGTGACTAGGTGGGCGAGTGTACAGTTGGTGATGTAGGCAGTAATGAGGGTGGTGGGTGACTTTAGTGATTGAATATGTGGCTGGTATGTAAGGGTAAAATGTTGAGTAAAATGTGGGTGGGGGCATGGGACTGGGCAAGTTGTAGTCTTGAGATAGTGTGAAAATGTGGATATCTTAGGGAATTGTTTATGTGTAGGGGTGTGGCAGTGGGGGAGGGGGATGCTTGGGAATTGTATAGGTGGATTGTGTGAAGGATGTTACTTGTTGGGATGGTGTGGGCAAAGGCTTGTGGCTGTGGGGAAGTTGTGTCATTCTCTTCAGGTCACAACCAGGGTTACTCATTGCTCAAGCTTGTATCTTTGTCTCGTTCTTTTCAATTGTGCAGACTGATGCTTCATTCAGGTCATAGGCTCATGCCATTTCCATCACATGTGCGCCACTCTTATGCTTATCTAATATCTCAATTTTCTTCAAAACACCAAGACTTTCATGCTTCTTTGAAGCTCCAGGATCACTCTCATTTCTTTTGGTGTCATGGTTACCATCCAAAGACAAAATGGGATGATGAAAAGATCAAAAGTTAATTTACTAACACAGGCCGAGCATGGTATTAGACACAGAAATGAACCCCTGGGTGAGAGAGGTTGTGTACTTCATGTAGGCCTTCCCATAAGACAGTGGATATACCTTGAGGCTCACTGTTGTACCAAGGGAAAAGAATGCAGCACATTCCAAATTTTCCCATATATGTACTTCCTGACGATCTGTTGGAGTGTGAGCAGGGTAATATTTAGTGAAGGGATTCAGGGAAACCAGTTATTTTTATATAGCCGGACTTGAGTCCTGGAAATGGGAAGTACAATGCCTGCACTCTAAAGGAGGGGTTCTGGATATTAGCAGTTTGGAGGGATATGTTTTGTATCTTTATACGTATATGCTTCTAAACTGTTGTGTTCTGAGCACCTCTGCAAAAACAGTGATTATGTGTGAGTGAGGTGAAAGTGTTGAATTACCTGGAGTTTACCTGGAGAGAGTTCCAGGGGTCAACTCCCCCGCAGCCCAGTCTGTGACCAGGCCTCCTGGTGGATCAGAGCCTGATCAACCAGGCTGTTACTGCTGGCTGCATGCAAACCAATGTACGAGCCACAGCCCGGCTGGTCAGGAACCGACTTTAGGTGCTTGTCCAGTGCCAGCTTGAAGACTGCCAGGGGTCTGTTGGTAATCCCCCTTATGTGTGCTGGGAGGCAGTTGAACAGTCTCGGGCCCCTGACACTTATTGTATGGTCTCTAAACATGCTAGTGACACCCCTGCTTTTCATTGGGGGGATGTTGCATCGTCTGCCAAGTCTTTTGCTTTCGTAGTGAGTGATTTTCGTGTGCAAGTTTGGTACTAGTCCCTCTAGGATTTGCCAGGTGTATATAATCATGTATCTCTCCCGCCTGCTTTCCATGGAATACAGGTTCAGGAACCTCAAGCGCTCCCAGTAATTGAGGCGTTTTATCTCCGTTATGCGTGCCGTGAAGGTTCTCTGTACATTTTCTAGGTCAGCAATTTCACCTGCCTTGAAAGGTGCTGTTAGTGTGCAGCAATATTCCAGCCTAGATAGAACAAGTGACCTGAAGAATGTCATCATGGGCTTGGCATCCCTAGTTTTGAAGGTTCTCATTATCCATCCTGTCATTTTTCTAGCAGATGCGATTGATACAGTGTTATGGTCCTTGAAGGTGAGATCCTCCGACATGATCACTCCCAGGTCTTTGACGGTGTTTCGTTCTATTTTGTGGCCAGAATTTGTTTTGTACTCTGATGAAGATTTAATTTCCTCGTGTTTACCATATCTGAGTAATTGAAATTTCTCATCATTGAACTTCATATTGTTTTCTGCAGCCCACTGAAAGATTTGGTTGATGTCCGCCTGGAGCCTTGCAGTGTCTGCAATGGAAGACACTGTCATGCAGATTCGGGTGTCATCTGCAAAGGAAGACATGGTACTGTGGCTGACATCCCTGTCTATGTCAGATATGAGGATGAGGAACAAGGTGGGAGCGAGTACTGTGCCTTGTGGAACAGAGCTTTTCACCGTAGCTGCCTCGGACTTTACTCTGTTGACTACTACTCTCTGTGTTCTGTTAGTGAGGAAATTATAGATCCATCGACCGACTTTTCCTGTTATTCCTTTAGCACGCATTTTGTGCGCTATTACGCCATGGTCACACTTGTCGAAGGCTTTTGCAAAGTCTGTATATATTACATCTGCATTCTTTTTGTCTTCTAGTGCATCTAGGACCTTGTCGTAGTGATCCAATAGTTGAGACAGACAGGAGCGACCTGTTCTAAACCCATGTTGCCCTGGGTTGTGTAACTGACGGGTTTCTAGATGGGTGGTGATCTTGCTTCTTAGGACCCTTTCAAAGATTTTTATGATGTGGGATGTTAGTGCTATTGGTCTGTAGTTCTTTGCTGTTGCTTTACTGCCCACTTTGTGGAGTGGGGCTATGTCTGTTGTTTTTAGTAACTGTGGGACGACCCCCGTGTTCATGCTCCCTCTCCATAGGATAGTAAAGGCTCGTGGTAGGGGCTTCTTGCAGTTCTTGATGAACACGGAGTTCCATGAGTCTGGCCCTGGGGCAGAGTGCATGGGCATGTCATTTATCGCCTGTTCGAAGTCATTTGGCGTCAGGATAACATTGGATAGGCTTGTGTTAACCAAATTCTGTGGCTCTCTCATAAAAAATTCATTTTGATCTTCGACTCTCAGTCTGGTTAGCGGCTTGCTAAAAACTGAGTCATATTGGGACTTGAGTAGCTCACTCATTTCCTTGCTGTCATCTGTGTAGGACCCATCTTGTTTAAGTAGGGGCCCAATACTGGACGTTGTTCTTGACTTTGATTTGGCATAGGAGAAGAAATACTTGGGGTTTCTTTCGATTTCATTTATGGCTTTTAGTTCTTCCCGCGATTCCTGACTCCTATAAGATTCCTTTAGCTTAAGTTCAATGCTTGCTATTTCTCTGACCAGTGTCTCCCTACGCATTTCAGATATATTGACCTCTTTTAGCCGCTCTGTTATTCTTTTCCGTCGCCTGTAAAGGGAGCTCCTGTCTCTTTCTATTTTACATCTACTCCTCCTTTTTCTTAGAGGAATAAGCCTTGTACCTACATCGAGTGCCACCAAGTAAATCTGTTCTTGGCATAAGTTGGGGTCTGTGTTGCTTAGTATATCTTCCCAGCTTAGATCGGTTAGGACTTGGGTTACTTGGTCCCACTTTATGTTTTTGTTATTGAAGTTGAATTTGGTGAATGCTCCCTCGTGACTAATCTCATTATGTCGGTCTGGGGCTCTGCGCATACGTGTCTGAACCTCAATTATGTTGTGATCTGAGATATTGTTTTTGATATGGTGACATTTCCTATCAGATCATCATTGTTAGTGAAGATGAGGTCTAGTGTATTCTCCAGTCTAGTAGGCTCTATTATTTGCTGGTTTAAATTGAATTTTGTGCAGAGATTTAAAAGCTATTGTGAGTGTGAGTTTTCATCAGAGCTGCCTCCTGGTGTTATTACTGCAACAATATTATTTGCTATATTCCTCCATTTTAGGTGCCTTAAGTTGAAATCCCCCAGGAGCAAGATGTTGGGTGCAGGAGCTGGAAGATTTTCCAGACAGTGGTCAATTTTTAACAGCTGTTCCTGGAATTGCTGGGATGTTGCATCCAGAGGCTTGTAGACTACCACAATGACTAGGTTTTGGTTCTCGATCTTTACTGCTAAAACTTCCACTACATCATTTGAGGCATTAAGCAGTTCTGTGCAAACAAGTGACTCTGCAATGTACAGGCCAACCCCCCCCCCCTTTTTGCCTGTTCACGCTGTCACATCTGTATAGGTTGTAACCTGGGATCCATATTTCGTTGTCCAAATGGAGGAATATAGCAAATAATATTGTTGCGGTAATAACACCAGGAGGCAGCTCTGAAAGTATTTTCTTTTTGGGGATTTTCTTTCTTTTTGGATTACCATGCCTTGGTGGGAGACAGCCGACTTGTTAAAAAAAAAAAAAAAGTACTCTTACATGTAAACTAATTTTTACAGTATTTTTTTTTTTTTTAACAAGTCGGCCGTCTCCCACCGAGGCAGGGTGACCCAAAAAAAAAGAAAGAAAATCCCCAAAAAGAAAATACTTTCATCATCATTCAACACTTTCACCACACTCACACATTATCACTGTTTTTGCAGAGGTGCTCGGAATACAACAGTTTAGAAGCATATACGTATAAAGATACACAACATGTCCCTCCAAACTGCCAATATCCCAAACCCCTCCTTTAAAGTGCAGGCATTGTACTTCCCATTTCCAGGACTCAAGTCCGACTATATGAAAATAACCGGTTTCCCTGAATCCCTTCACTAAATATTACCCTGCTCACACTCCAACAGATCGTCAGGTCCCAAGTACCATTCGTCTCCATTCACTCCTATCTAACATGCTCATGCACGCTTGCTGGAAGTCCAAGCCCCTCGCCCACAGAACCTCCTTTACCCCCTCACTCCAACCCTTTCGAGGACAACCCCTACCCCTCCTTCCTTCCCCTATAGATATATATGCTTTCCATGTCATTCTACTTTGATCCATTCTCTCTAAATGACCAAACCACATCAACAACCCCTCTTCTGCCCTCTGACTAATGCTTTTATTAACTCCACACCTTTTCCTAATTTGCACACTCCGAATTTTCTGCATAATATTTACACCACACATTGCCCTTAGACAGGACATCTCCACTGCCTCCAACCGTCTCCTCGCTGCTGCATTCACAACCCAAGCTTCACACCCATATAAGAGTGTTGGTACTACTATACTTTCATACATTCCCTTCTTTGCCTCCATAGATAACGTTTTTTGACTCCACATATACCTCACCGCACCACTCACCTTTTTTCCCTCATCAGTTCTATGATTAACCTCATCCTTCTTAAATCCATCCGCCGACACTTCAACTCCCAAGTATCTGAAAACATTCACTTCTTCCATACTCCTCCTCCCCAATTTGATATCCAATTTTTCTTTATCTAAATCATTTGAAACCCTCATCACCTTACTCTTTTCTATGTTCACTTTCAACTTTCTACCTTTACACACATTCTCGAACTCATCCACTAACCTTTGCAATTTTTCTTTAGAATCTCCCATAAGCACAGTATCATCAGCAAAAAGTAACTGTGTCAATTCCCATTTTGAATTTGATTCCCCATAATTTAATCCCACCCCTCTCCCGAACACCCTAGCATTTACTTCTTTTACAACCCCATCTATAAATATATTAAACAACCATGGTGACATTACACATCCCTGTCTAAGACCTACTTTTACCGGGAAGTATTCTCCCTCTCTTCTACATACCCTAACCTGAGCCTCACTATCTTCATAAAAGCTCTTAACAGCATTTAGTAACTTACCACCTATTCCATATACTTGCAACATCTGCCACATTGCTCCTTTATCCACTCTATCATATGCCTTTTCTAAATCATAAATGCAATAAAAACTTCCCTACCTTTATCTAAATACTGTTCACATATATGCTTCAATGTAAACACTTGATCTACACATCCCCTACCCACTCTGAAACGTCCCTGCTCATCCGCAATCCTACATTCTGTCTTACCTCTAATTCTTTCAATTATAACCCTACTGTATACTTTTCCTTGTATACTCAGTAAACTTATTCCTCTATAATTTTTACAATCTCTTTTGTCCCCTTTTCCTTTATATAAAGGGACTATACATGCTCTCTGCCAATCCCTAGGTACCTTCCCCTCTTTCATACATTTATTAAACAAAAGTACCAACCACTCCAACACTATATACCCCCCTGCTTTTAACATTTCTGTCATGATCCCATCAGTTCCAGCTGCTTTACCCCCTTTCATTCTACGTAATGCCTCACGTACCTCCCCCACACTTACATTCTGCTCTTCTTCACTCCTAAAAGATGGTATACCTCCCTGACCAGTGCATGAAATTACCGCCTCCCTTTCTTCCTCAACATTTAAAAGTTCCTCAAAATATTCTCGCCATCTACCTAATACGTCCCTTTCCCCATCTACTAACTCCCCTACTCTGTTTTTAACTGACAAATCCATACTTTCCCTAGGCTTTCTTAACTTGTTTAACTCACTCTATCATCTGCTCTCCTTTTGCACTCTCTCACCACTCTCTTCACCTTTCTTTTACTCTCCATATACTCTGCTCTTCTTACAGTATATTTACAGTATATTCACTGAAAATATAACAGTTTTTCAACTGTGCTAGAGCAAAATGTGTTAACAGATCATGATTTATCTGACAGTCTACTGTATTTGTTTTTAATACAGGTTGACCATCACTAATCCGGCATCATCAGGACCTAGGGTGCTGGATTAGTGATTTTGCCAAATTACAGAGTGGTTAGGTTAGAATACACTTAACCCAATGGCGATATTTACACATCAGTGATTTCACCCACTTTATGCCCCATTTTTGGCCCATTCCATTGTTCCAGTCTACCAAACTCAACTATTTCACTAGTATTCCTTCTATTCTGTTGATTGAGTACAAGAAACTACCCATTTACCTATTTAAACTACTTAATACAGTGGTCAGATATCGGTAATTTGGCCAATTTCACACAAATTTCAAGAGATGCCAATTTCAAAGTAGAGTCCATATTAAACAATGCAGACATTCCTACCACCAAAATAACATATTCTCTGTTCATTAGTCATGTCTCCAGGCCCCTCTATATTATGCTTGCTTTCCATTTTGAATTTTTATTCACACAAAAAATAGAAGATTCACTGTTATGCAGACTACTGCATTATTGTAATAATTGTATAAATAATGTCAACCCATTCGTGACTGCGTATTAGACCGTAAATGTTGGACAGTTATTGGACATCAGCAAAAATCGAACATTCCGCTACTTTGAGCTCAATTTTAAGGTACTTTCCAGCGTGAAACCAATCAAAATATCTATTTCTGTAATGTATTTTCCATTCTATCAATTGAGACCAAAAAAATGACAATACGACAATAGAAACCATACGAAAATATACCCCAGAGTTGCTGTTTTACACCAAAAGCACAGTTGCCTTTTTTTCTCATTATGTGCTGCATGCTGCATTATTTTTTTTATATAGTGTACAGTTACTACACAGACTTTTTATCTCATATGTAGGACCAAATTTACTGATCACAGCTTATCTGAGTAAACCATACCCCGGCCGGGATTGAACCCGCGGTCAGAGAGTCTCAAAACTCCAGCCCGTCGCGTTAGCTGCTAGACCAGCTAGCCACAATAAGATTCGTCCAACTAGGTATATTTCTACACCATAGGAAGGTTAGCACAGGCACCACTGTGACCACAAAAGCAAGTTTTTACAGACAAATCTCCAGCTAGCGTGGCCGTGACGAACTCTAGCTCAAGTCCCTTCACTGGAGTTTTGAGACTCTCTGACCGTGGGTTCAATCCCGGCCGGGGTATGGTTTGTTTGCAATTGTGTCATTACGATTTCGTGAGTCTTGTCTGAGTAAGCTGAGCTCATGGTGACCAACAGTGCCTTGGAAGCCACCTTATCTTTTATGAACAATGTACAGTGTATGTGCTTTACACAACAAGAAGCATTTCTTTTATTTGTTGGAACCATGGCTAGGGCTAAAAGTGAGCAGGTTATAACAATACAGTGGACCCCCGGTTAACGATATTTTTTCACTCCAGAAGTATGTTCAGGTGCCAGTACTGACCGAATTTGTTCCCATAAGGAATATTGTGAAGTAGATTAGTCCATTTCAGACCCGCAAACATACACGTACAAACGCACTTACATAAATACACTTACATAATTGGTCGCATTCGGAGGTAATCGTTATGCGGGGGTCCACTGTAAATGGAGAAAAAGGACCCCAATGGAAATAAGTCACTCTGTCTGACTTTTTTGGGTTATCCTAGGTTCTCTACACATATGCTGCTATGTATGATAATTCTATGTAACTGTATTTGTGTATACCTGAATAAACTTACTTACTTACTTGGAACAACTTGTGCAGTAAATAGCTCCACCAAACGGTAGCAGCAGGTTGGTGTGGAAACCCCGGAAATTTGAAATCATGCTAGCCGAAATTAGTGCCGGATTACTGATGGAACTGGATTAGTGATGGCCAACCTGTATTTCATTCCATGACCTTGTATAATATTTGACATATTCATTATGTTCAGTATAGCCATATTGTGATCGATAACAGTAGTGTGCTCATCAACAGCGGTCCAAATGGCAACAGCAACCAAAACAACTAATGGGACTGCAATACATCCTGATGCTCGATTTGCATCTCTGAATTCTATGTCAGAGCCTCTCCAGTTATCTCCAGGAGTATGTTTTAAGTTTCATTTGTTTCATATACGTACTTTGTTAGGGATAAAGGATACAATGTACTTCACTTCTGAAGTATTTATGAAAAATATTTTCCCTATTATATGTATGTTATATGCAGTATCTGCCTTATTTGTACTGTAATAGAAATTGTAACTTTGGTTTTAGACAGGCTCATAAATACTAAAATTCTACTCAAAGTATGCACATAAGTTTAGTCAAGAGAATAAACCTGTAGAGTGCATTTTCTAACATTTACATGTATTTAATAACCATTCTAATTGTATAATTGTGAAAGGTTGAAGGGCGTGTAGAACCATATGAGCTGGTAGAGCTGTTCTATGGCAGCAGTACTGCATCCCCTGCTACAAATGCATCACAACTTTCTCCTAGATCAGGTGGAACTTCTTCTCCTGAGGTCATGCAGGTAACACTATAACTGGATTTGCTTTAGCTTGTTGTATATTACATGAAGCTTCAATTTTTAAGTAACCTCATTAAAAATTGCATTGTTCGACTTGAGACAAAGTATTATTCAGTGCTTTTTTTTTTCAACAAACCAGCTGTCTCTCACCGAGGTAGGAGTGACCCAATAAAAGAAGAAACTCTTTCACCATCATTCACTCCATTGCTGTTTTGAATGTCTTCAAAATTTAAAAGTACAGTACACAAGCAGGTTGGCTCAGTGCAGATATTGTTATGCCAGGAACTATGACCTATTTTTTTAAAGGAGGGATTTTTTTTTACATTGACCAATGATGTTTGAAGCTTGCCTGTATTAGCAGTTTCTCAAATTGTGCATTGGTATGCCAAAGAAAACACTTTCTCTTATTTACAGTTGACCGATTAGATCATACATGCACACCATCCTGTATGAAATGAGTTAGTAAATTAGATGCTTATTCAACACTTGGGTATCTTTATTGTGGAAATGTTTTGTCCTCCAGTGGCTTCCTCAGTCCAGTATAGAGAAGAATGGTTGAAGATCAGGAGGAGTTTGAGGTAATCAGGGACACTACCACAAACTGTCAGTTCTCAGAGCCAGTTGTCTACAAATGAGGTTTTAAATATGAATAAAGCATCCATTATTATAAATTAATTTTGCTGTAACACTGATGAACACTTCACAAAAGCTGGAGAGTGAAAGTGTATATTACATCATTAATGAATAGTTAGGAATATAGTTTTGATGTGAAGTAAATATGCATTGCATATCCTCTGTTTTCTAGGATATTCAGTGCTAGGATATATTCTATGTAAATGACAAGAAACTTACAGCTTTTTAAAGTCATTTTGTTTTTAGTATTAACAGAATATTTACATAATCAGTAGTTCAATTATTATTATTATAATCAAGGGGGAAGCGCTAAACCCGGAGGATTATACAGCACCTGGGGGGGGGGGGGATGTGGAAGGCATTCAGGCTTAATTCGGGGAACTGGAGCACAGATCCAATTCCCTAAATCAAGAGCCCCTCACCAACATCAAGGAACCTTCCTTGAAGGGTCAGTAGTTCAAGGTACCTTAGAATGGTCCTGTTGATCTTACAGCTAACTGCTTTACTTATGAAAATTTTACATTAAATTCTTCTTCAATTTACAGGTTGTAGAACAAACAACTAAGGAAAAACTTCATCCCGATTCTTATACTTGTGAAGTCTGTGGGAGGAATTTCAAAGAAGCATCACACTTCACTAAACACAAACGTGGAGCCCTTTGTAGAAAATTAGCCCAGCGCATGGCTAAGAAAACTAAAAAGAGGAAAGGCTCTGGAAATCAGGACTCTGCAGATAAGAAAAATAAACAAAGAATTCTTCATAAACCATATCAGTGTAATGTGTGTGGTGCTAAATTCTGTGATAAAGTAAATGTGGAATTACACTTAGAAAGGCAACACAACAGTCGCCAGCAACTATGGGTTGAAGTTGCAAAGAGTGGGGTTTTCTCATGTGCAGAGTGTGATAGATGCTTTCAAGATAAAGGAGATCTAGCAGAGCATCAGAGACAACATATGGCAACATATCTTCACCACACTGAGAGATTAAGTCATGGAGGGGAACCTCAGGGTACAACTGTAGTATACTACCATGATACTCTCCAACAGGTCCCGACTTATGGACAGCAGACACAACCACCACCCCCGCCACACCTGCCTCCACCTCCTGCCCCTACACCAATGGCTCACATACACACAAACATGACCACGATTCTTCACACTCCTCAGCTTCCCCCATCATCAATTATTCCTGTGTCACAAGCTAACAATTCGCAGCCATCTCTCTCTACTCATTCTGCACTACCAAGTATACCACCTTTAACAGTAGTAGAGTGTGTAGCAAAAGGTCTAAAGAATAGCAAGACAGATAGATTGACGGCAAATAGTAAATGGAATATATGCGGTGAGTGTGGCCACAAGTTTGTAGATCCCATGAATCTAGAGCTTCACATTCAACGGAAGCACCCTGATTCGTATATGATAGAGACCATTAATTTAGGAGGTGGAACCATTCTCTACAAAACCAATAATACTCGTTCAGATGTGCAATGTTTAATAACTCAGAATGGATCTCCTAACTCTGATCTTAAGTTAAACAAGGCAAATCCCCAAACTTTTGACTGCATATTGTGTGGTTACAAAGCAACTTCTAAGAACTATGTTTTATTCCACCTTCAGAATATTCACAGTACAAGCAATACTGATTTCATTCATGTTTTAGAGACCCTGGAGTCTGGAAAGAAGGGACCCAGAGGAATAAAGGGAAAGAAGGGAAGCCAGGATCCTCTTCTGCGTGAACAACGACACGTGTGTGATGCATGTGGTGAAGTATTTCTTTCTAAAGCCGAACTCATCCGTCATCGTATCAAAGATAAACAGTACATGTGTGGGGTGTGTTGCCATGCATCCTGTAGCCAACAAGAAGTAACTACACACATGGCAACTCATCATCCTCACCATCATACATCTATGACCGGAGGGTTGTCCTGTTGGATATGTGGTGCTGTTTCAGGGTCAGCTTCCAATTTAGATGATCATCTTGTTACTCATGGTACAATAAGGGCAGAGTGTGTATCATGTGGAGAATATGGAGATAGGCTAGAAGCACTCCTTCCTCACGTAGGTGTCCACTTACCTCGTCAGTCTACTCGTGTGCGTCTTACAGTGGGTAGACCTGGACAGCCTCCATTATCTCACACTTTTGAGGTGGCTGTAGATGGAACCATCCACAGTGGATTAAATACAAATCGTACATCTCCAGTTTCTGTTGAAGCCATGCCCACTCGTATTGCTCCAGCTTATGCCTGTAGTGAATGTGGTGCTTGTCTGGCAGGAGCTGCACAGTTAGAAGCTCATTTACCATTACATCAAGTTAATTCTATTGTTACAACTCAAGCAGCAATATCAACCAATAATTCTGGGACTTTCACTAACACCACTGCTACAATGGGACCAGTCACAGCTTCCATGACAGCAGCAATAGGAGCTTCTGTTGATTGTGTTTTTCGTGTTCCTGGTTCCTTTGAATTTCGCTGTGAAGAATGTGGATTTTGGAGAGAAGACAGCGAACCAGTTATGCGTCACATACAAGCTGTACATATGTCTGGCAATATGCTGCATTCAGTAAAGCTTCAGTCTGGTTTGGTACAGATCCATCCTATCCATGTTGTAACACCAATTAGTTCTCTTTCTGCACAATGAAGCACTAAGCATAAAAGCTAAGCAAATCAAATCAAATTATTGATCAAATGCAGTACTATATAGTTTTTGAGTAATAGAATATATCATTCACAGATTTGTGACATTCAGTGAAATCATATTTCAGCTGTATGCTTTCAGAACAAAATTGTATTCTAATATACATTGTCAAAATAAATGCTTTTGAAGTGGTTATTTACTTGTGAAAGACTTGTGTGCCTCTAGACATTACATAATACTATATTATTATTATTATTATTATTATAATCAAGGGGGAAGCGCTAAACCCGGAGGATTATACAGCGCCTTGGGGGGGGGGATGTGGAAGGCTTAATTCGGGGAACTGGAGCACAGATCCAATTCCCTAAATCAAGAGCCCCTCACCAACATCAAGGAACCTTCCTTGAGGGGACATAATACTATAACATATGGTGGTTTGTTGCCAAGTACATAATGACTCTCTCAGCCATTTAACTAAATTTAATTTTTGTTACAGATAACATATAAACTAGACCTGAGAATCAGCTCACTCAGGACTGTTGTCACTCCTGGTTGTGTAATTTTTTTTTTTTTTTTAACTGACCTTTATCACCTTTGTCAGGTTTGCTGTACTTATTAGCATGCACTGACTGCTCTTTCCCACATAATGGCAAAACTCAGATGTGTATACAACAAACATCAGTTGCTCAGGTCATCTTATGCTAATTTTACTGCAAGGTTAAGCAAACATTATTCTGTCAACCTAATAACTGAGAAAATTATTTAATACTTGTAATTGTGATAAAATTCTCAGTGTACATTATAATTATTATAATCATGGGGTAACGCTAAACCCATAGGATTATGCAGCACCTGTGATGGGGGGAATGGAAGGTATTCAGGCTTAATTCAGGGAACTGGAGCACAAATTCAGTTCCCTAGATCAAGAGTCCCTCACCAGCACCAAGGAACCTCCCTTGAGGGGTTCCCAGTGTACAAAAGTTGCAAGATCTTAGGTGTACATGTACATCATCATTCCATGAGTGATGTCTTACAAATATTTTTTTTTACCTGTTGCTGTTAGTCATGTGCTAAAGATGCTCTTATTGGATATTTAATACTGTTGACATTTTATGATACAATAGCCATTTAATATGTTCTATGCTAATTATATTTTAGGCCACATATCACATTATATTGATATTAATGTTGAGAATCCTATATGTAGGATGGAGATTTATTTGCAGTTCATAAATTTCTATTTTGATAGAAATATACACATTCAGGTCTCCAATTATTTCTTTTTATGTGGACAGTGAAGTGGTTACTGTAGATATTGTACAGCAAAGGTCCTATCTTGATATCTTTGATAAATGTGTCCCTGCAGTTAATGTTGGATGAAATGTACAGACTTAAAAATAAGACTTCTAATTGCAAGCTAAAGGATGTTGATGCATACTTAATATTGTATGTGGTGTGTTAGATAATAAGGGCATCGTGACATGCTTTAAAACGAGTAAAACTTCATAATGCCTATAAAAGCTTTTTCTAAGTATGGTTGTAAAATACCACTCATTAATTGTTCTTTTATTTTTTCCTGTGTGAACTGCAATAGATATTTATATTTCCTCTATATATAGTACAGGACGTGTGCTCTGAAGGAGGAGTGGAGATACGGTGCCGTTTTTGAACTGTAGTGTAGGCACACCTTTGGCAAGACAGTGATGGAGTGAGCAATGATGACAGTCTTGTTTGGGTCACCCTGCCACGGTGGCAAGCGGCTGATGTGTTAATAAAAAAAAATATATATATTGTGAGTGGTGTACTTGCCTATTTTGTGGTTGCAGAGGTTGATTTATCCTGGCCTTGCTGTATAGCCCTTGTGGCTTAGTGCTTCTTTTTGATTATAATAATAATTATCCTGGCCTTAACACTCCAGATTCACTGCCTTGTAGCCTCATTATATTGTACCTACTTTTAAAGCTATGTATGGAGCCTGCCTTCACCACTTCCCAACCATTCTGAGACTGAAGAAATGATTCTTAACATCCTGGTGGGTCATCAGTGTCTTTAGCCCATTCACTTAGTATAAATTCTGACAGTGTTGTGATTTTTATAAAGAAAAAAAAACTGAAATGACAGAGAATCTCTTTCTGAAGGTAATGATACCAAAAATCAGCTTCACTCCGAGGGGAAGGATTCCTCAGATCTCACAGACATCAAGGAACTTTCCCTGAGAGGTAAATCCAAGTAATGAGTGTTATAATTTTGGGAAAATACCAAACACAGTCATTCTGTACAAGCACCTGTGGAATTAGAGGTTACCAGGGATGGTCTAGGGAAGGGGAAGGCAAGTCCAGTATAAATTAGCAAATATTTCATACATAGGTAATCTCGAGCCACCTTCACAGTTGTTGGCAACAACGTTGGTCTAAGTTGATCCATAACAAATTATATTCTGTCAAGCCGTGTTGAGAATTCTGGTCTTCTTATCATCAATGTTGTGGTTGGGAGACTACACTTTCCAGTCTTCACATCGGATACACGTGTCTCACTCGTGGGTATCTCAAGGAGGTGCCCATTGCCACTGTGAGAATTGTGAAGTTCCATTAGCAGTTTGCCGTATTCTATTAGACTCCTGTCTACCAGTGGGCACACAGAATTTACCTCTAATGTAGTCACTCCTTGCTGATGGCCTCACCTTTGACAGACTCCCTCTTTGACAGCAACAGATTTATTACATCAACTTTAATTATACTTCCTTTATCACTCCACCACCCTTACTAACGCTACCTCTGTCGTAGTCTTCACCCCTCGCTGGTCTCCGATCAAGCATATTACACCTTTAGTACACCCTACCCTACAAAAATGTTAAGATAGAATCAGTACAGCATTACTCAGTGCATACAAGATCCACTTTAAACTGCCCCAACACACTGACGACCTTGTTAAAGTCCCACCTTTTTTTTTTTTTTTTAAACTAACCTATTGCACCAACTTTGATTTCAATTTTGCATGCACTAGCCCCCCCCCCCAACTAACCCTTAACTTTACACACCACCTACCTCTTGACCTTTGCACATTTCTACTTTCACACATCCCTCCCTGCAGCAGTGTGACTTACAGGTTTAGTGCTTCATTTGATAATATAGTCCTCTTGCCCTGTATTTCTTATGCCTTTCCTATCTTCCAGTTTTTGCATATGTTGGTTTTTTATTTCCTAGAACAAGCCAGCGGGTTTACTGCAGTGTTCCTTTTTTCCCTTTTGGGGCCCAAGTGTTTAGTGCTGGGTCACTTTGATCCCCACTGGGTTCAGATGCCCCATTGCTCAATCATTTTAAAGGGGTTTTTCGCCTAGCAGGGGCTGCCAGTAAGACTTAATATGGGACTCCGTCTCTTCATTCTCACGAAATTATTTAAAATTTGTACTACCATTATTACAAATTCTATTTCTTAAAACCCCTATTATTATTGCATTGCTCCCCTTCCCCCCCCCCCCCCCCCCCCACTCCATCTTCACCCTCCTGACCCTGTCTTGTGGCTTCCCTTTTTTTTTTCCCTTCTCTTCACTCAGTTGCAACCTAACAATGGCCCCAGGTTAAACCGAAATGGCCACCCCTGGCCATTGTAAGGGGGTTTTACTTTGGGGGATATAAACCCTTTTTAAATAATCAAATAAAGTGTTTAAAACCGACAAGGGCATGCAGCAAATTTTAAAACCCTTGCAGCTCTATACTGTAACTGTAATATATCTAAAATTTAAAACAACCCTCTAATTTTAAAAATTTCCATAAAAGCTGATGAAATTTTTTAGAAAATATATTTCAACTTTTTAAAAAAAATACATCACTTTGGGGATACATTTAAAATTTATGAAAAAAGGGCATTTCAAAAATATACAAAGTACAAAACTTCATTTTAAATTTTTAGTTTAAGGCACTAAAAGTGAAACCCCATTTCCATAGAGGTCATAAACTCTTTACAATTTAGGGGCTCCTTTTTGGGAAAATGAATAAAAACACCTTGACCATTTTTTCCATAAAAACCCCTCCCCCCAATTTCATTTAAACTTTCAGGTTTCCAGGTCTAAATTATGTAGGTTGTAAAAGGGAAAAAAATTGAGTAAAGAAAAAAAAACCCCCAGGTTTTAAAATTTACTTTCTACATACAATTACACAAAACCCAATTGCTTCCTTTTGCAGGGTGCCCCAAAGCATATAAACTTCACGGAAAATTTATTAAAAACCCCTTATAAAACCTATACTATATTTTAGGCCTTTATTTTTTCTTTTTCTAAGTACAGTAGTTAGTTGTTTTCCCCCACATTCAAAGATATGAAATTTCCCTGTATTTTTGGTGTCATTCCTTTAAAAAAAAGATTTAACCTTTTAAAAGGGAAAAAAATTTAAATTTAAAAAAAAAAAGTATCACAAGCAACATTAATTTTGGGAGTTGAACAGTGAAAAGATCAATTTAGTTGTTTTTCAAAAAAACTTAAATTATCACCCCCCAACACTGCTACCTATGCACCATTTTTTTTGGGTTAACGAAAGTTCCCTATAAAAATTTCCCTTTTCTTTTTTTTTTTTTAAAATTTAAAAATGGACAGAAAAAGATAAAAAACCACAAAGCAATTTATTGAAAAGTTTACCTTAAAAAATTTTAATTTTTTTAAAATTGAATAATGATAAGACTTTGAATCCCGTAATTTTTCAGAAGACACACAATTAAGCTCTAAGAAAACCCAAACATTGGTCAGTGGGGGTTGGTGTTTTTAGAACCCCAAAATATTTTTAAAAAATCTCGTGTTTCCCCCTATGTGGGTTAGTCCATTTTCGGGTTTTTATCACAGGAAAAAAAATAATTTTTTAAAAATAGAAAGAGGAATTTAAAAATGAAACCCCCCTATCTCTTGCATTTAGACCACTCGAGGATTTCCCCAACACCACAAAAATTTTTATTATTATTTTTAATTAAGGGGGGGAAGCCTAAAACCCCGGGGGATTATTTCAGCCCGGGGGGGGGGGGGGTGTGGAAGGCATTAGGCTTAATTTTGGGGGGAAATGGAGCACAGATCCAATTCCCTAAATCAAGACCCCTCACCAACTCAAGGAACCTTCCTTGAGGGGAACACCAGCAAAACTCTCAAAATTTAAGGGCCCCTCAAGGGAGGGTTTCCCGATGCTGGGGAGGGGGGCCCCCTTTTTATCTAGGGAATTGGAATTTTGTTTCTCCGGGGGCCCTGAATTAAGCCTGAATACCTTCCCTTTGGGGTGCTGTTGGGAAACCCTTTTAGGTTTAGTGCTTCTGTTGATTAAAAATAATCCTTCCATTCCCCCCCTCCAATGGTGTATAATCCTTGGGTTTTGCACTCTCCCAAATTATAATAAAAATGATTCCCAAAGGGTGCTGTATGACCCTGGTGGTTTAGCACTTTGTTATGGTTTTAATCTAGATTCAGGAAATTTGGGCCTGACTTTCCCTTGGGTTGAAACCCCGATTTTCTTTCTCTCCCCTAAATGACTCCCCCATAGTTTTGTGCTTCCCCATAAAAACCCACAAATTTTAAAACCCTTTTTGCACTTTAAAAAATGTTATGTCTAATGAAAGGGATATTTCCCTTTAAAATTTTCACAAAAAATTTTAAAATTTTTTCACCAAAACCCAAACACCACAAAAAAAAACAGTAAAACATAGGAATGTAGAAGGGGGTTTTTTTAACACCCGGCCCGGTTATGCAAATGGTTTAGGGTTTGAGGGGGGTGAAAAAAAAGGATTTTTTTGGGATTTAACCCTTTTCTTTTTATTAAAGAAGCAAAGGGAATTTGCTTGGGCCCTTGGGTTAATTTGGGAAGGGAGGTACATGCCTGCACTTGAAAGGATGGTGGAGATCTGCAATTTTTGGGGGGGCATCTGAATTGTGATGTCCCCCTTTCCCCGGGGGGCAACTTCAATGTGGTAAATGAAAAAAAAAAAAAAAAACATGATAAATTTGTTTGAATATGGAGTTTAAATTTTGACTGAGTCAGGGAAAAATCTGGGGAGAACATGAAAAAACATTTGGGGAAAAAAAATGTTTTAATGGGGTATGTCTTTAAATTCAAGAATTTGATGGTTCAAAATATTTAGCTTGACCCACTGATTAATTAATTGCCTAATAAACTTTGCCAAATGACCTAATATATGTTTCCTGGCAATATGAATTCATACAATAGTGTTACAAGACCCAGTGACTTGCCATACATATTTATATATACATGTACATCTTATTGTAAATTTAGATAAAATACAAGGTGCTATAAAAAAGTTCCTGGACTGCCATGAAAAAAAATACAAGAGGGCCCCATCTGTATGGCTCTTAGGTTCCTGACCCTGTGTGATAAGTGAAAATTGCCAGCAGGAGGAAAAGAGCATTTTTTCATTATCAAATGCATCTAAAATGCCTGATAACATGTTTACACTTCTAATTTAAGTGTCAATCCCAGCTAAGGCCCAAAAAAAAAAATATAAAAAGTAAAATAAATACATAGCACATACAATACATACCTTAAAATATGGCGCCAGTCGCCCTTCCCTTATGCAGCTGTTATGCAGAGAAGCAGTAAAAGCACTGAACGTAATGAACATTGGCTCAGTTGACAGTCAACAAAAAAGTGGAACACCAAAATGAAGGTGGTGAATATGCAGGGCCCTTCCATATAGGCTAACCTAATCACCTAGTTGAGGTTGTCTTCCTTGAAGTACTTTCCTTGGGAGGTTATACACTTATCCCAGCACCTCTACCGTTTCTCAAAACATTTCTGAAACTTCTTTCCTAATGGCATATAGCATGGTAGACAATTTTGTTTGACTCTTCCATGTTAAAATGTCAAAGCTAGATCTGGGGAGTAGAGAGGGTGGGGAACGACTACCATGTTGTTTTGGGAGAGAAAAATGGTCTTTCTGGTCTTGAATCAGCAAGCCGGGCACAAACACATACACACTGTTCTTTCAAAGATTCTATTCTGTAACACAAAAAAATGCAACAATGCACTGACAATATGACAAAAAATGCCTGTCAACCAAAACAAAATGACTGACTGCACTGAAACTCACCTCACTACTTCACAAAGAAGTGTAATGCACAATGTGATCTTCACTACTATATTTCACCCAGGAAGCATGCGAAAATTCAAGTCCAGGAACTTTCCACTATATATAACCTCACTCATCTTATCTTACTCTATTTGGTTTTCTGAAATTATGCAGCCTCTTTGTAAAATTTTTTACTCCTCTATCTGTTTGATTTTTTCCTTTAAATTTTAACTGCCTTTTGTTTCCTTGGGGCCTGGAAATACTTTCTTCCAACTGTTTTCTTTGCTCCAATTTCTCATGGAGAAAAATTTCTTTCATCTTAGCTAAAGCATTTACATAAAGAAACTCGTATGGTTCTAACTCCTCTGTAGAAATAACCAATCTAGTTGCTACATTTCCAGTATTAGACAACACAGTCTTGAAGTCATGCATCTGAAAAGGAAAAAATATTAAATGCAAAATATGAACATAATGTAGGTAAAATCATACAAAATATATCAATGGATTTTTTCAATAAGCAATTTTTTCTGAATGCAACCCACAACATTTGGTTAACCCTTTTGCTGTCTCTTATGTAGATCTATGTTTTAAGCACAGCACCCTCTGATATGCTGAGCGGTAAATTCTGGCCTGGACATGCGATAAGGAATCCAATAAATCTAAATGGTATTGTACCTAATAGGAAAGTCAATCAGTCATGAGTCACTGATACCAACTTTGAAGGTACATGTACTTGTACCAGATCTCATCATGGCCATGTTCATAAGAACATAAGAACAAAGGAACACTGCAGCAGGCCTACTGGCCCATGCGAGGCAGATCCAAGTCTCCTACCGGCTTAAGCCAATGCACCCAACCTAGTCAGGTCAGGTCACATTGACTTAAGGGAGGAACACGGCAACCGACGTGGTAGCACAAGCTATCAGGTCCAACTCACACCCATCCACATCCACTCATGTATTTATCCTACCTATTTTTGAAGCTACACAACGTTCTAGCCTCTATAACTGTACTTGGGAGTTTGTTCCACTCATCCACAACTCTATTACCAAACCAGTACTTTCCTATATCCTTCCTGAATCTGAATTTTTCCAACTTAAAACCATTGCTGCGAGTCCTGTCTAGGCTAGATATTTTCAGCACACTATTTACATTCCCTTAATTTATTCCTGTCTTCCATTTATACACCTCAATCATATCCCCCTAATTCTACGTCTTTCTAGAGAGTGCAGATTCAGGGCCCTTAGTCTATCCTCATAGGGAAGGTTTCTGATACATGGGATCAACTTTGTCATCCTCCTTTGTACATTTTCCAGAGCATTTATATCCATTCTGTAATACGGTGCCAAACTGTGCAGCATAATCTAAATGAGGCCTAACCAAGGATGTATAGAGTTGAAGAACAACCTGAGGACTCCTATTATTTATGCTTCTTGATATGAAGCCAAGGATTCTATTAGCTTTCCTGAGAACACTTATGCACTGTTGTCTTGGTTTCAGATTACTGCTAACCAGAACTCCTAAATCTTTTTCGTAATCAGTAATATTAAGATCTACATTATTTAGTTTATATGTGGCATGGTTACTGTCCTGTCCAACATTTAGAACTTTGCATTTGTCTATATTAAACTGCATCTGCCACTTCTCCGGCCACTGCATCAGTCTATTCAAATCTTCCTGGAGTGCTCTAATGTCCTCGTCAGAATGAATTCGACGGCCTATTTTGGTGTCATCGGCAAACTTGCTGATGTCGCTCTTTATGCCCTCATCTATGTCGTTTATGTAGATTGTGAACAGCAGGGGGCCCAACACTGACCCCTGTGGAACACCGCTCATGACACTTCCCCACTCTGATTTCTCCCCATTTGTGCAAACTCTCTGCTGCCTATTTGTCAACCATGCCTCTATCCAGGAAAAAATTTCTCCTATTACATGTGCCTTAATTTTCCTCAATAGTCTCTGATGTGGGACCCTGTCAAAAGTCTTACTGAAGTCCATATACACAATATCATATTCATTACCATGATCTACCTCCTCAAATACTTTAGTGAAAAAAGTTAATAAATTCATAAGGCAGGAACGCCCCTTTGTAAAACCATGCTGAGATTCGTTGATTAATTTATGCTTTTCAAGGTGGCTACGAACTGCCTCGGCAATTATTGATTCCATAAATTTTCCCACTATGGAGGTTAGGCTTATTGGTCTATAGTTCGAAGCTAAGGACCTGTCACCTGCTTTGAAAATAGGTATCACATTTGCCATTTTCCACTTATCTGGCACCATGCCAGTTTGTAGTGATATGTTGAAAAGATTAGCCAAAGGTTTGCTAAGCTCCTCTTTACATTCCTTTAGAACCCATGCATACAGTTCATCAGGGCCTGGGGATTTGTTAGGTTTTGATTTATCTATTTGCCTAAGGACCATGTCACTTGTGACCCTAATCTTTTTTTTTTATTATCACACCGGCCGATTCCCACCAAGGCAGGGTGGCCCGAAAAAGAAAAACTTTCACCATCATTCACTCCATCACTGTCTTGCCAGAAGGGTGCTTTACACTACAGTTTTTAAACTGCAACATTAACACCCCTCCTTCAGAGTGCAGGCACTGTACTTCCCATCTCCAGGACTCAAGTCCGGCCTGCCGGTTTCCCTGAATCCCTTCATAAATGTTACTTTGCTCACACTCCAACAGCACGTCAAGTATTAAAAACCATTTGTCTCCATTCACTCCTATCAAACACGCTCACGCATGCCTGTGGAAGTCCAAGCCCTCGCACACAAAACCTCCTTACCCCCTCCCTCCAACCCTTCCTAGGCCGACCCCTACCCCGCCTTCCTTCCACTACAGACTGATACACTCTTGAAGTCATTCTGTTTCGCTCCATTCTCTCTACATGTCCGAACCACCTCAACAACCCTTCCTCAGCCCTCTGGACAACAGTTTTGGTAATCCCGCACCTCCTCCTAACTTCCAAACTACGAATTCTCTGCATTATATTCACACCACACATTGCCCTCAGACATGACATCTCCACTGCCTCCAGCCTTCTCCTCGCTGCAACATTCATCACCCACGCTTCACACCCATATAAGAGCGTTGGTAAAAACTATACTCTCATACATTCCCCTCTTTGCCTCCAAGGACAAAGTTCTTTGTCTCCACAGACTCCTAAGTGCACCACTCACTCTTTTTCCCTCATCAATTCTATGATTCACCTCATCTTTCATAGACCCATCCGCTGACACGTCCACTCCCAAATATCTGAATACGTTCACCTCCTCCATACTCTCTCCCTCCAATCTGATATTCAATCTTTCATCACCTAATCTTTTTGTTATCCTCATAACCTTACTCTTTCCTGTATTCACCTTTAATTTTCTTCTTTTGCACACCCTACCAAATTCATCCACCAATCTCTGCAACTTCTCTTCAGAATCTCCCAAGAGCACAGTGTCATCAGCAAAGAGCAGCTGTGACAACTCCCACTTTGTGTGTGATTCTTTATCTTTTAACTCCACGCCTCTTGCCAAGACCCTCGCATTTACTTCTCTTACAACCCCATCTATAAATATATTAAACAACCACGGTGACATCACACATCCTTGTCTAAGGCCTACTTTTACGGGGAAAAAAAATTTCCCTCTTTCCTACATACTCTAACTTGAGCCTCACTATCCTCGAAAAAACTCTTCACTGCTTTCAGTAACCTACCTCCTACACCATACACTTGCAACATCTGCCACATTGCCCCCCTATCCACCCTGTCATACGCCTTTTCCAAATCCATAAATGCCACAAAGACCTCTTTAGCCTTATCTAAATACTGTTCACTTATATGTTTCACTGTAAATACCTGGTCCACACATCCCCTACCTTTCCTAAAGCCTCCTTGTTCATCTGCTATCCTATTCTCCGTCTTACTCTTAATTCTTTCAATTATAACTCTACCATACACTTTACCAGGTACACTCAACAGACTTATCCCCCTATAATTTTTGCACTCTCTTTTATCCCCTTTGCCTTTATACAAAGGAACTATGCATGCTCTCTGCCAATCCCTAGGTACCTTACCCTCTTCCATACATTTATTAAATAATTGCACCAACCACTCCAAAACTATATCCCCACCTGCTTTTAACATTTCTATCTTTATCCCATCAATCCCGGCTGCCTTACCCCCTTTCATTTTACCTACTGCCTCACGAACTTCCCCCACACTCACAACTGGCTCTTCCTCACTCCTACAAGATGTTATTCCTCCTTGCCCTATACACGAAATCACAGCTTCCCTATCTTCATCAACATTTAACAATTCCTCAAAATATTCCTTCCATCTTCCCAATACCTCTAACTCTCCATTTAATAACTCTCCTCTCCTATTTTTAACTGACAAATCCATTTGTTCTCTAGGCTTTCTTAACTTGTTAATCTCACTCCAAAACTTTTTCTTATTTTCAACAAAATTTGTTGATAACATCTCACCCACTCTCTCATTTGCTCTCTTTTTACATTGCTTCACCACTCTCTTAACTTCTCTCTTTTTCTCCATATACTCTTCCCTTCTTGCATCACTTCTACTTTGTAAAAACTTCTCATATGCTAACTTTTTCTCCCTTACTACTCTCTTTACATCATCATTCCACCAATCGCTCCTCTTCCCTCCTGCACCCACTTTCCTGTAACCACAAACTTCTGCTGAACACTCTAACACTACATTTTTAAACCTACCCCATCCTCTTCGACCCCATTGCCTATGCTCTCATTAGCCCATCTATCCTCCAATAGCTGTTTATATCTTACCCTAACTGCCTCCTCTTTTAGTTTATAAACCTTCACCTCTCTCTTCCCTGATGCTTCTATTCTCCTTGTATCCCATCTACCATTTACTCTCAGTGTAGCTACAACTAGAAAGTGATCTGATATATCTGTGGCCCTCTATAAACATGTACATCCTGAAGTCTACTCAACAGTCTTTTATCTACCAATACATAATCCAACAAACTACTGTCATTTCGCCCTACATCATATCGTGTATACTATTTATCCTCTTTTTCTTAAAATATGTATTACCTATAACTAAACCCCTTTCTAACAAAGTTCAATCAAGGGCTCCCATTATCATTTACACCTGGCACCCCAAACTTACTACCAACACCTCTCTAAAAGTTTCTCCTACTTTAGCATTCAAGTCCCCTACCACAATTACTCTCTCACTTGGTTCAAAGGGCTCCTATACATTCACTTAACATCTCCCAAAATCTCTCTCTCTCCTCTGCATTCCTCTCTTCTCCAGGTGCATACACGCTTATTATGACCCACTTCTCGCATCCAACCTTTACTTTTAATCCACATAATTCTTGAATTTACACATTCATATTCTCTTTTCTCCTTCCATAACTGATCATTTAACATTACTGTACCCCTTCCTTTGCTCTAACTCTCTCAGATACTCCAGATTTAATCCCATTTATTTCCCCCCACTGAAACTCTCCTACCCCCTTCAGCTTTGTTTCGCTTAGGGCCAGGACATCCAACTTCTTTTCATTCATAACATCAGCAATCATCTGTTTCTTGTCATCCGCACTACATCCACGCACATTTAAGCAACCCAGTTTTATAAAGTTTTTCTTCTTCTCTCTTTATTATCGTCCTGTTCTACGTAATTTATCATTTCTGGAATATCGCTGGTATCCTCCTGTGTAAAAACTGAGAGGAAGTATGTGTTAAAAATTCTACACATTTCCTTATCACTGTTAGTGAGCTGACCCGAGGAACTTTTGAGTGGGCCTATCTTGTCCCTGATCTTACTTCTGTACACCTGAAAGAATCCTTTTGGGTTAGTCTTCGTTTCTCTTGCAACTTCATAATCTCTTTTTGCTTTTCTAATTCCCTTTTTTATTTCTCTCTTTAACTGAATATATCGATTTCTTAAATGCCCCTCTCCTCTTTTGATTTGACTATATATGCCTCTCTTTTGACCAATCAGATATTTTTATCTATTGTTCATCCATTTAGGATCATTTTTGTTTGATCTGATTTCCCTATTTGGAACATAATTTGACTGAGCAGCTAGAACTATGCCCTGGAAAGCGTCATATCGGCAACCATCACCACCTACCTGACCCTTAGTCAGGTCATTCCAGTTCAGCCCACCTAAGTAATTTTTCAGTCCTATGAAATCAGCCACGCGAAAGTCAGGGACAGACTTGATTGCCATTATTAGGGGAGTTCCATGATATATTAAAACTGAGTGATTTGTGATCACTTTCCCCAAGCTCATCATTAACCTCAAGATTATTAATTACTGTTTCCCATCTGGCAAGAACCAAGTCAAGGAGGTTATTTCCCCTAGTTGGCTCTGTCACAAACTGTTTTAAAAAACAATCCTGGATCGTATCAAGAAAGTCACCTGACTCTAAATTTCCTGTCAAATTGCTCCAGTCAATCTGTCTATAGTTGAAATCTCCCATTAGCACAACATTTTCATATGTAGATGCCTTACGAATTTCGTCCCATAGAAGTTTACTGCACTCCCTTTCAAGATTTGGGGCCCTGTAAATCACACCCAAAATTAGTTTTTCTCGGCCCTCGAGAAGCTGTAATCAAACAGATTCAGTGGCCAACGCTTCTAATTTTATATCTTGTCCAACACAACAATTTAAATTGTCTCTGACATACATCGCTACTCTACCACCCTTCCTGTTGACCCTGTCAGTGTGGAATAATTTATAGCCTTGTATGTGACATTCAGAGGGCATCTCTCTATCTTTCAGATTGAGCCAGGTCCCTGTTATAGCAATAATATCTATGTTTCCTGCACTTGCAATTAATCTTAGCTCATCTATCTTATTTCTTACACTCCTGCTATTAGTATAGTAAACCTTAAGGGAGCTAGTCCCTTGCTGTCCCCCTTTGTTTGCTGACCTGATCTATTGTCTTTATTTATAACTTCATGCTGAATGCCTTTTATACATATACTGTTTCCAACCCTAGTGTTACAACCTGCTTGTTTCCCACACACACCCATACCTCTATCTTCTATCAGTTTAAAATCATAGGCATTTCACCAATGGCCTTCTCAATTGAGTTTGCAAGTGCTACCACCCCAGCCCCAGAGAGATGTACCCCATCCCTTGCATACATATCATGTTTGCCATAAAAGTTGTTCCAGTTATCAATGAATGGGATTGCAAGTTCCTACATAGGCAGTCACAGGGGTGTTACACACCAATCCTCCCAGCATAGAAATACACATAATTGGCAAATCTTATTAAGTTGGTATGGAGTAATGGTTAAAACACTGGTTTGGCAATTATTATTTTGGCTTATTATGGGTTGAGCCCTGCTCGCTTTCTGAATTATGAATGAATGTTCTGACAAATACAGCTCGTCAGGTCCCAAAAACCATTCGTCTCCATTCATTCCTACCTAACATGCTCATGCACGCTTGCTAGAAAACTGTATATCTTTTTTTTTTTTTTTCAACAAGTCGGCCGTCTCCCACCGAGGCAGGGTGACCCAAAAAAGAAAGAAAATCCCAAAAAAGAAAATACTTTCATCATCATTCAACACTTTCACCACACTCGCACATTATCACTGCTTTTGCAGAGGTGCTCAGAATACAACAGCTTAGAAGCATATACGTATAAAGATATCTACATCTAGATATCTATATCTACAGGTAATAAAAAATAAAACATAAACAGTAAATTATTATATACATACCGTATCGTTGGTAACAAGAGAGAGAGCAGTTCCGGGTTTGCCTGCACGAGCTGTCCTTCCTATACGATGAATATAGGTACTGAGAGATGGGACTTCGTATGATACTACGTGTTCTATGTCTGGGATATCCAACCCTCGAGCCATAGCATCACTAGACACAAGACTGTAGGGCAATGAATGTGTTAATAAGTATTCTATGAAATTATACTAAACTATGTTTATATTGCACATTTAGTTTATAGTTATTCTTAGTAGGCATTTGACTACATATAAAAGAACACAATATCTAAAGTACAGAAAAGCATTCACAATTTGGCTAAAATTTATTTAATAAAAAAGAAATTAAGTAACAACAGATCAAAGAGTGCAAATAAGGCTGTTTATTTGTGAAAGACCCCCCCCCCCCCTCCAAAAAAAAAAAAAAAAAAAAAAATAGCCATCTTCCACCTAGGTAGGGCAACAACAACAAAAAAAAAATCACCATCACTCATTCAATAGCTGTCTTGCCAGAAGTGCACAGACATAACAATTCAAATGATGCTCTGTACAGCAACATCCCCACCCCTCTGACAAAGCTCCTGGAGAGCAAAATGTTGCCACAATAAAATGTCACATTAGTTGCACTTGTGTCCTTATACCTGGTAAAGTGTATGGTAGAGTTATTATTGAAAGAATTAAGAGTAAGACGGAGAATAGGATAGCAGATGAACAAGGAGGCTTTAGGAAAGGTAGGGGGTGTGTGGACCAGGTGTTTACAGTGAAACATATAAGTGAACAGTATTTAGATAAGGCTAAAGAGGTCTCTGTGGCATTTATGGATTTGGAAAAGGCATATGACAGGGTGGATAGGGATGCAATGTGGCAGATGTTGCAGGTGTATGGTGTAGGAGGTAGGTTACTGAAAGCAGTGAAGAGTTTTTACGAGGATAGTGAGGCTCAAGTTAGAGTATGTAGGAAAGAGGGAAATTATTTCCCAGTAAAAGTAGGCCTTAGACAAGGATGTGTGATGTCACCATGGTTGTTTAATATATTTATAGATGGGGTTGTAAGAGAAGTAAATGCGAGGGTCTTGGCAAAAGGCGTGGAGTTAAAAGATAAAGAATCACACAAAGTGGGAGTTGTCACAGTTGCTCTTTGCTGATGACACTGTGCTCTTGGGAGATTCTGAAGAGAAGTTGCAGAGATTGGTGGATGAATTTGGTAGGGTGTGCAAAAGAAGAAAATTAAAAGTGAATACAGGAAAGAGTAAGGTTATGAGGATAACAAAAAGATTAGGTGATGAAAGATTGGATATCAGATTGGAGGGAGAGAGTATGGAGGAGGTGAATGTATTCAGATATTTGGGAGTGGACGTGTCAGCAGATGGGTCTATGAAAGATGAGGTGAATCATAGAATTGATGAGGGGAAAAGGGTGAGTGGTGCACTTAGGAGTCTGTGGAGACAAAGAACTTTGTCCTTGGAGGCAAAGAGGGGAATGTATGAGAGTATAGTTTTACCAACGCTCTTATATGGGTGTGAAGCATGGGTGATGAATGTTGCAGCGAGGAGAAGGCTGGGGGCAGTGGAGATGTCATGTCTGAGGGCAATGTGTGGTGTGAATATAATGCAGAGAATTCGTAGTTTGGAAGTTAGGAGGAGGTGCGGGATTACCAAAACTGTTGTCCAGAGGGCTGAGGAAGGGTTGTTGAGGTGGTTCGGACATGTAGAGAGAATGGAGCGAAACAGAGTGACTTCAAGAGTGTATCAGTCTGTAGTGGAAGGAAGGCAGGGTAGGGGTCGGCCTAGGAAAGGTTGGAGGGAGGGGGTAAAGGAGGTTTTGTGTGCGAGGGGCTTGGACTTCCAGCAGACATGCATGAGCGTGTTTGATAGGAGTGAATGGAGATAAATGGTTTTTAATACTTGACGTGCTGTTGGAGTGTGAGCAAAGTAACATTTATGAAGGGGTTCAGGGAAACCAGCAGGCCGGACTTGAGTCCTGGAGATGGGAAGTACAGTGCCTGCACTCTGAAGGAGGGGTGTTAATGTTGCAGTTTAAAAACTGTAGTGTAAAGCACCCTTCTGGCAAGACAGTGATGGAGTGAATGATGGATAAAGTTTTTCTTTTTCGGGCCACCCTGCCTTGGTGGGAATCGGCCAGTGTGATAATAAAATAAATAAATAAATTATCTTTTAATCCCACACCTCACCTCATCACCCTAGCATGTTCTTTTATAACTTCCTTTATAAATGTGTTAAACATTACACATCACTAAGACCCAATTTTCTTAGAAAAGTAATTACTCTCTATTATACATACCCTAACCTAAGTATCACAATCCACTTTAAACTCTTTACTGAAATAAGTAACCTATTACCAGTCCATGTATTTGCAACATCTACCACACTGTTTCCCTATCCAACCTACTGTGTGCCTAAATGGAATACTGAAACTTATTTTGCATATGACTTACACATCGATTTTTCCAGATGAAAACTGAGAGACAATCTGTTGTCTCTTATTCATTTGAGTTGAAGAGAATTCAGCAATTTTTAAGTCCTCAGATAAGGCTGCTAGAAGAACACCAAGTTTATGGGTTGCTTCAACTGAATTCGTGAAGATGAGAACTCTTCGCCAGGATTTTGAAGTTAACAAATAATGAAGAACTAACGGTTTCACAGATTCCTCCATGACTACATATTCTTCCTTTAGTTCTGCTGGCCTAGTGTACTGACCAACCATGGTGCTAACAGATGATCTCTGTATCTTACCACCTAAAAAATATAGATAATTTAAATTTTATAACAATGTAAACAGAAATTAAATACATGTCTCTTCAAGCAAATTTCATCTCTCAGAAGAGGAAGATAAAAAAAAATGGAGAACTTCTGAGATAAAATATATGTTGGTCAACAGAACCATAGCAGACTTGGCTGTCAAAATCACGCCAGTGACTTAGCTTTACTCACAGAATCAAGGCCTGCATAAGATAAACCCAAAGAAAAATAAATATAAAAACAATTAGTTTCACTCACTTTCAGATGAACAAGCAGTAATTAACTTTGGCCTGTATAGTGGCACATTCTGGAGCAGCTCAGGATCATGAGACAAAGTCGCAGAAAACAGAAGGCGGTGGAGTGGGACTCTTGGAAACTGAATGATGCCACTCCCTTGAAAACCATTAATGAGGACGTTCTCTGACAAAGCTTCATGTTCTCTTATAGACTGCTCAATGCGTTTCACCCAATCTCCACCCTCTGCTGAAAGCAAATGATCAGCCTCATCATAAACAAGATACCTGAAAAAAAGGGCAGTTATAATTAACAACATTATAACCAGCAGGTTTAGTGCTTCCATATATAATAGTGCAATATGAAAAACAAAGAATTACAATGACGATAAAAATAGGAGACAAAGGTACAAGATATGAAAATTTTTAAATAACCATGTCTCTATAAAAACAAATTCTAAATCCTATCTCTGAAATTCACCTGATATAGGTCCACAATAAATATCTATTTCCTCAGTGACTTCAGAAAATAAATGTTTATATACAAAAAAAAAAAAGTTTTCTTTTCCCATGATATTAGGGAGCATACAATATTGTATAAAAATATGAGAAAATTAAATATTCTTTCTCACGGTTTGTCACTATTCCCATACCATTTAGAGAGGATGGAGCACAACAGGATGACTTGAAGGGTGTATAAATCTGTAGTTGAGAGAAGAACGGGTAGGGGTCATCCTAGGAAAGAATGGAGAGAGAGAGTAAAAGAGGTTTTGTGTACAAGGGGCTTGTACATACAAGAGGCATATGTGAGTGTGTTAGATAGGAGTGGAGACAAATGGATTTCTGGAACTTTATAAACTGTTGGAGTATGAGCAGGATATTGTGATGGGATTCAAGGAAACTGGTTAGCTGGACTCAAGTCCTAGAGGTGGGAAAGTACAGTGCCTGCACTTTAGAGGAGGGGTTTGGGATATTTGTTGCTTAGAGTGACATCTAAACTGTTCTATCTGTGCACCTCTACAAAGAGTGATAGTGTAAATGATGGTGAAAGTGTTTCTTATTTTTTGTTCACCCTGCCTTGGTAGGAGAGGGCCAGCATGTTAAAAAAAAATACAATACAATATAGCATTGAGCGATTGCACTGGCTAACAAAGGTTTCAGTTCACATCTAAACATAGCCAAAATGTTATCAAAAGATTTAAAAAAAAACCTTACACAACACTCAAATTCAATAACATAAATGTTCAATTCCCACATACGTATACTGTCTTGGTTGAAACAGACAGTGCAGAACAGTACTTTTATTGAGATGACTTTTTTTTTCTGTGTAATAGGTTTTTTCATGTCAATACAAAATGATAAGCAATGATAAGGCCGGACTTGAGTCCTGGAGATGGGAAGTACAGTGCCTGCACTCTGAAGGAGGGGTGTTAATGTTGCAGTTTAAAAACTGTAGTGTAAAGCACCCTTCTGGCAAGACAGTGATGGAGTGAATGATGGTGAAAGTTTTTCTTTTTCGGGCCACCCTGCCTTGGTGGGAATCGGCCAGTGTGATAATAAAATAAAATAAAAGCAACAACCAAGAAAGATCATGGTGTGGGTGGTTAGAGGCCAGGAAGCACTGCAGGCTGACTGTGCTTTGTGTACACACAAATTATTAGAGAACTATTTCTGAGGGCCTGCTCCACATGGGTCAGTAGGCCTGTTGCAGTGTTCCTTCTTTCTTATGTTCTTATTGTAATAAGAGTAGGGGATGGGTTTCACAAAGTTAAAGTTCCTTGATTCTGCTTAACTGTATTATATATGCCAATTAGAGTGAATTCCAGGCATCTGCACTGTGCTCTCTCTCTCTTGTTGATCACTGGTTGTGTGTTTTTACAGGACATCAAGTATGTTGTGATCTTGAGCTTGGTTGTCCAAGAAAACACCAGATGAGAGTAGAGTAGAAAAACTCTCAGAAATCATCAATGGTATGGGCATTACTGGTGTTTGTGTATTAAAGTTGCTAGATTCTGATGGGTATTGCCAATACATTTCTGGTCACAATTCCTGCAAGGTATAGTACAGATTTGCACATTACCAAAGTCCAAGCACTTAATATAGTTACAACTCCTATATTAACCCTTTCAGTGGCTATCACATAGAACTACACCATGGAGGCCAGGGTTCATCATGTAGTTCTACAACCTGAGCTTAGCTCACTCAGATAAGCTGTGAGCAGCAAATTTTGGCCTTGATATGAGAGAATGGGTCTGTGTGGTGAGTGTGCACAGTACAAAAAAATCCTGCACCACGAAGTACATGATGGGAAAAACAAAACTCAAAACCATGTGTTTGGATTAAAATAGCAACTTTGAGATATTTTCTCAGATGGTTTTTATGGCTTTATTGGCTGTTTCTTAGTATTAACTGAAATAGAGATGAATTTGATTGCTTTCAGGACTGAAAGTAGCTTGAAAATTAAGGTCAAAATAGTAGAAATATTTGATTTTTGCCAATATTCCTGAGGATGGATAAGGCCCCCCCTACATCCCCCAGTCTGTTTTATGGGTTTTAATATGTCTGATTCAATTACTGGGACATTGTAAACCATGACCAATCATTCCTGGTTATAGTATAATCTGAAAAATAGAGTAAATCTTCTATTTTTGTGTGATTAAGAATTTCAAATGGAAGGCAAGTGTAATATAGGAGGCACCCAGAGATGTGATTAATGAACAGAGGAAATGTTTTAGTGCCAGGAATGTCAACATCGTTTATTTTGAACTCTATTTTTAAATTTTTTTTTAATTTTGTGTAAAAGTGGCCAAATTACAAACTTCTGTGCACTGTATACAATAATTAAAGTAGATAAATGGGCAGTTTCTTATACTCAGTTGATAGAACAGAAGGTATACTAGTGAAAATGGAACTGGTTTTAAGCAGGACTCAAAGTGGACAAAATCGTCAATGTGTGAATTGTGCTGACATTGCTAACTTTGCACCTGTGTATTTCCGTTAGATTTCCATCAAATTTCATACTTTTGGTGTCTTTATCTTCAAAAAAAAAAAAAAAAAATTCTCTATCATTTCTGATTTTTTTTTTTTTTAAAGTGGACACTAAGAGCAATATTAATTTTGGGGATCTTGACATCGTAAATTTGTTACAATACAGTGGACCCTCACCTAACGAACGCATCACATAACGTTAAATCCGCCTAGCGATACATTTTAACGCAAAAATTTTGCCTCGGCTAGCGCTAAAAAACTCGCTCAACGCGATTCGTTCGGGATGCGTCCACGTGCGGCCTGAGCCCGCCTCACTTGTTCCGTGGGTGCCAGTGTTTACAAGCCAGCCACCGCGGTCGCTTCCAAGTATACAATCGGAACATTTCATATTATCACAGCCTTTTTAGTGATTGCACCTGCAAAATAAGTCACCATGGGCCCCAAGAAAGCTTCTAGTGCCAACCCTACAGCAAAAAGAGTGAGAATTACTATGGATATGAAGAAAGAGATCATTGCTAAGTATGAAAGTGGAGTGCGTGTCTCCGAGCTGGCCAGGTTGTACACAAAACCCCCAATCAACCATCGCTACTATTGTGGCCTAGAAAACGGCAATCAAGGAAGCTGTTCTTGCCAAAGGTGCAACTTTGTTTTCGAAACAGATATTGCAAGTGATAGATGATGTTGAGAGACTGTTATTGGTGTGGATAAACGAAAAACAGATAGCAGGAGATAGCATCTCTCAAGCGATCATATGTGAAAAGGCTAGGAAGTTGCATAACAATTTAATTAGAAAAATGCCTGCAACTAGTGATGATGTGAGTGAATTTAAGGCCAGCAAAGGTTGGTTTGAGAGATTTAAGAATCGTAGTGGCATACATAGTGTGATAAGGCATGGCGAGGCTACCAGTTCGGACCACAAAGCGGCTGAAAAATATATGCAGGAATTCAAGGAGTACATAGACAGCGAAGGACTGAAACCTGAACAAGTGTTTAATTGTGACGAAACAGGCCTGTTTAGGAAGAAAATACCAAGCAGGGCCTACATTACTCAGGAGGAAAAGGCACTCCCAGGACATAAGCCTATGAAAGACAGGCTTACTCTGTTGATGTGTGCCAATGCTAGTGGTGATTGCAAAGTGAAGCCTTTATTGGTGTATCACTCTGAAACTCCCAGAGTGTTCAGGAAAAACAATGTCCTCAAGGCTAATTTGTGTGTGCTGTGGAGGGCAAACAGTAAGGCATGGGTCACTAGGGACTTTTTCTATGACTGGTTACATCATGCATTTGCCCCCACTGTGAAAAATTACCTAATTGAAAAGAAATTAGACCTTAAGTGCCTCCTGGTATTAGACAATGCTCCTGGTCATCCTTCAGACGTGGCAGAGCGACTTTCTGCGGAAATGAGCTTCATTAAGGTCAAGTTTTTGCCTCCTAATACCACTCCTCTCCTGCAGCCGATGGACCAGCAGGTCATTTCCAACTTCAAGAAACTGTACACAAAAGCAATGTTTGAAAGGTGCTTTGTAGTGACCTCAGAAACTCAATTGACTCTAAGAGAGTTTTGGAGAGATCACTTTACCATCCTAAACTGTGTAAACATTATAGGTAAGGCTTGGGAGGAAGTGACTAAGAGGACCTTGAACTCTGCTTGGAAGAAACTGTGGCCAGAATGTGTAGACAAAAGGGATTTTGAAGGGTTTGAGGCTAACCCTGGGAATCCTATGCCAGTTGAGGAATCCACTGTGGCATTGGGGAAGTCCTTGGGATTGGAGGTTAGTGGGGAGGATGTGGAAGAGTTGGTGGAGGAGGACAATGAAGAACTAACCACTGATGAGCTGCTAGATCATCTTCAACAGCAAGAGGCCACATCTGAGGAAACTGCTTCGGAGGAGGGGATAGAGAAATTGAGGAAGTTGCCTACTTCAAAGATTAAGGAAATGTGTGCAATATGGCTTAAAGTCCAAACCTTTTTTGATGAAAATCACCCTCACACAGCTATTGCAAGCCGTGCTGGTGACTATTACACTGACAATGTTGTGAAACACTTTAGGAATGTCATAAAGGAACGGGAGGTACAGGCCTCTTTGGACAGATATGTTGTGCGACAGAGGTCCAGTGACTCTCAAGCTGGTCCTAGTGGCATTAAAAGAAGAAGGGAAGTAACCCCGGATAAGGACTTGCCACCTCAAGTCCTAATGGAAGGGGATTCCCCTTCTAAACATTAACACCATCTACAGTCTCCCCTCCTCCCATCCCATCAATCATCAGTTTGTGTGTATTAAAATTAATATTTCATGTGGTAAAAATTTTTTTTTGTTCATACTTTGGGGTGTCAGAAACGGATTAATTTGATTTCCATTATTTCTTATGGGAAAAATTAATTCGCCTAGTGATAATTTCGCCTAACGTTGAGCTCTCAGGAACGGATTAATAGCGTTAGGCGAGGGTCCACTGTAGTGACTAAAAATAAAACTTCTGAACTATCAAACATAAACAAGAGTATATACTCTACTTAAGTCAATGTACTGTAACTGTAGCAGGGCACCTACTGGATTAACTCACATATGACTGTAAAAGTATACAAAAAACAAATCGAAAGAAGAAAAACCTATATTTCCAGCTCTTATTTTCTTGATTTAATTTTACATTTAAATATTAACTCAAACTGACCTCAATGATGAAAGATTAATGCCTTTTGTAAACCTCAGATGATCAGCCAGCTTGCCCGGTGTGGCCACCAAGATGTCATTGTGCGAATGATTGCCACAACAGTCTTCACAAACCAAAGCTTCTTGTTCCTTCTTAAAAGTTTTTTGCCCAACTGCTAAACCAACCTTTAGGTTGCTCGCTTTTATATACGTCAGGAAGACTTTGTAAATCTTAAATAAATATACAATATTAAATTTCCAAGTAAAAATTACAAGAATTATACACATATACAGAATTATTATTTTTATTCAGTCATTAAAGTTTAACTAAGTTAAAAATCATCTATCAATTATTGAGGTTCAGGGTTACCAAAGTAATCACTGAAAGATGTTTGTTTAACTCGTAAACGGTCCAAACGTATATATATGTTCACTACCGTACTGCCCCAACTTTTTTGAGAAAAAAAAAACATTGTTGTTTTTTAATAGGAAAAAAGAGCATATGGTACCCAGGCATCCCCAATTATTTTAATATGGTGCACAGTGAGTGCTCACACCCATTCTCACATGTCTAGGCGACTCAGGCTTATCGTGGCAATGTTAAATGTAGGACACATAAAACGTATACAATGGACCCTCGCATAGCGCTATTAATCCGTTCCTGAGAGCTCAATGTTATGCGAAATTATCGTTATGCGAATTAATTTTCCCCATAAGAAATAATGGAAATCAAATTAATCTGTGCAAGACACCCAAAAGTATGAAAAAAAAAATTTTACCACATGAAATATTAATTTTAATACACACAAACTGACGAAGACATACACAGTTACATGACACTTACCTTTATTGAAGATCTGGTGATGACTGATGGGATGGGAGGAGGGGAGAGTGTGGATGGTCTTAGTGTTTAGAAGGGGAATCCCCTTCCATTAGGACTTGAAGTGTCAAGTCCTTTTCCGGGGTTACTTCCTTTCTTCTTTTAATGCCACTAGGACCAGCTTGAGTCACTGGACCTCTGTCGCACAACATATCTGTCCAGAGAGGCCTGTACCTCTCGTTCCTTTATGACTTTCCTAAAGTGTTTCACAACATTGTCAGTGTAATAGTCACCAGCACAGCTTGCAATAGCTGTGTGAGGGTGATTTTCATCCATAAAGTTTTGCACTTTAAGCCACATTGCACACATTTCCTTAATCTTTGAAGTAGGCAACTTCCTCAATTTCTCTCTCCCCTCCTCCGGAGCAGTTTCCTCAGGTCTGGCCTCTTGCTGTTGAAAATGATCTAGCAGCTCATCAGTGGTTAGTTCTTCAGTGTCCTCCTCCACCAACTCTTCCACATCCTCCCCACTAACCTCACCAATATGAGCAATAGTTCCAGGCATTTTTTCCTGTTCATCTGGGCGTTAGTTGACTGTTGTGGGTCGCATCCTGGGGGACAAGATTAAGGACCACAATGGAAATAAGTTAGACAGTCCTCGATGATGCACTGACTTTCTTGGGATATCCTGGGGGCAAACCCTCCGGGGTTAATCGTTTCTCGGTAATTGTTTCACGTTAAGCCACACCAACAACACTCTCTCCACATCTTCGAGTAATACAGCTGATGGTGGTGCAGCAACAACAGCTGACTGTGGTGCAGCAACAGCTGACCATGGTGCAGCAGTTGTGGTGCAGCAGCAGCTGTGGTGCAGCAACAGCTGACCATGGTGCAGCAGCAGCTGTGGTGCAGCAACAGCTAACCATGGTGCAGCAGCAGCTGTGGTGCAGCAACAGCTGACCATGGTGCAGCAGCAGCTGTGGTGCAGCAACAGCTGACCATGGTGCAGCAACAGCTGACCATGGTGCAGCAGCAGCTGTGGTGCAGCAACAGCTGACCATGGTGCAGCAACAGCTGACCATGGTGCAGCAACAGCTGACCATGGTGCAGCAACAGCTGACCATGGTGCAGCAGCAGCTGTGGTGCAGCAACAGCTGACCATGGTGCAGCAGCAGCTGTGGTGCAGCAACAGCTGACCATGGTGCAGCAGCAGCTGTGGTGCAGCAACAGCTGGACCATGGTGCAGCAGCAGCTGTGGTGCAGCAACAGCTGACCATGGTGCAGCAGCAGCTGTGGTGCAGCAACAGCTGACTGGTCCAATAGCAGCTGACCGTGGTGCAGCATCAGCTGACTGGTCCAGTAACAGCTGACTGTGGTGCAGCAACAGCTGACTGGTCCAATAACAGCTGACTGGTCCAATAACAGCTGACCGTGGTGCAGCAGCAGCTGACTGTGGTACTATAGTATTTATCGCCCTTTTTACTACAGGGTTGGCACTAGAAGCTTTCTTTGGGCCCATGGTGGCTTATTTAGCAGTTACAAGCACTATAAATAATGGAATAATACAAAATGTATCGAATGTATGCATGCAACCAGCCACCCTGGCTTGTAAACAATGACGGCAAGGTAGGCGTTCAGGCTGGACGGACAGGTTCGGGACAGATTTGGGACGAGTCATGTTCAGAAACGGCTGATGGTGGTGCAACAGCAGCTGACTGATCCAGCAACAGCTGACTGGTCCTGCAACAGCTGACTGGTCCAGCAACAGCTGACTGGTCCAGCAACAGCTGACTGGTCCAGCAACAGCTGATTGGTCCAGCAACAGCTGACTGGTCCAGCAACAGCTGACTGGTCCAGCAACAGCTGACTGGTCCAGCAACAGCTGAACATGGTGCAGCAGCAGCTGACTGAT